GAATAAGATCCATGAACTTGTGGCAATAATGGCAACTGATAGTGTAGATTTAGTCGCTGTTACTGAGACATGGTACAATGAGAAAAATGACTGGGACATAGCAATACCAGGGTACTCTTTATATAGGAAAGATAGGGAAGGCAAGAAAGGGGAGGGGTGGCCTTGTATGTGAAGGATAGCATAAAATCTAGCCTAATAAAAGTTAGTGAGGCAAACATAGAGTCCGTTTGGGCTACGTTAGAATTTGGTAATCACACAGTAACTCGTGTAGGTGTGATTTATAGGCCCCCAGGACAAATTGAAGAGTTAGATAATCTACTAGTTGAGGAAATAGCTAAAATGACAATGAAGGGGAAGTTATCATCATGGGTGACTTTAATCTTCCTGATGTAAATTGGAAAACAAAATTAGCTACTTGTGCCAGGAGCACACATATTCTAAACTCCCTACTGGGATTGTCTCTAAAACAAGTTGTTGAGGAGCCAACTCGTAAAGAGGCCATACTAGATTTAGTGTTAACAAATGGAGATTTGGTATCAGATGTTACTGTAGGTGAAAGTTTAGGATCCAGTGATCATCAGTCAGTGTGGTTTAATATAAGAACAGTGACTGAGTCACACCACACAAAAACAAAAGTTTTAGACTTTAGAAAAACAGACTTTTCTAAAATTAGAATATGGGTAGAGGAGTCATTATCAGACTGGAGCAATTTAAATGGAGTCCAAGAGAAATGGGATTATTTAAAAGTTGCACTATTGAAGGCAACAGAAAATTGCATTAGGCTTGTCAGTAAAAGCAAAAAATTCAAGAAACCACTGTGGTACTCCGCAGATGTGGCCAAAATAGTTAAAAACAAAAAGTTAGCATTTAGGAATTATAAAAAAAACCAGAGTGAGGGAGACAAAATGATCTATAAGATTAGGCAGAAAGAGGCTAAGCAAGTTATAAGAGCTTCCAAATCACACACAGAAGAGAAAATAGCACAGTCAGTAAAAAAAAGGGGATAAAACATTTTTTAGATACATAAATGAGAAAAGAAAAGTAAAACAAGGATTAGTTAGATTAAAAACAAAAGAAGGAAGGTATGTAGAAGAGGATAAAGGTCAGGCTGACTGCCTCAATGAATATTTTTGTTCTGTATTTACAGAAGAAAATGAAGGAAAGGGACCTCAGTTGAGAAAAAGGATAAATGAGTCATTTATTACACGTGAGTTTACAGAGGAAGAGGTTCTATTTCAACTGTCAAAAGTAAAGACAAATAAGTCAATGGGACCTGATGGAATACACCCAAAGCTATTAAAAGAGCTTAGTGGTGTACTAGCAAAACCATTAACAGATTTATTTAACCAATCATTGTTAACAGGAGTAGTCCCAGAAGATTGGAAGTTAGCGAATGTTGTGCCCATTTACAAGAAAGGTAATAGGGAGGAGTCGGGCAACTATAGGCCAGTAAGCCTTACTTCAGTAGTGGGGAAAGTGATGGAAACCATGTTAAAGGATAGGATTGATGAACATCTAAAAACACATGGATTTCAAGATCAGAGACAACATGGGTTTACTTCAGGGAGATCATGCCAAACTAATCTTATTGATTTTTTTGATTGGGTAACTAAAACTATAGATCAGGGTGGTGCAGTAGACATTGCTTACCTAGATTTCAGTAAGGCTTTTGACACTGTTGCACATAGAAGGCTTATCAATAAACTGCAATCTTTAAGTTTGGATTCCAATATTGTTGAATGGGTAAGGCAGTGGCTGAGTGACAGGCAACAGAGGGTTGTAGTTAATGGAATATATTCGAAGCTTGGACTTGTCACCAGTGGGGTACCTCAGGGATCTGTACTTGGACCCATTCTCTTTAATATTTTTATTAGTGATATTGCAGAAGGTCTTGATGGTAAGGTATGTCTTTTTGCTGATGATACTAAGATATGTAACAGGGTTGATGTTCCAGGAGGGATAAGCCAAATGGCAAATGATTTAGGTAAACTAGAAAAATGGTCAGAATTGTGGCAACTGACATTTAATGTGGATAAGTGCAAGATAATGCATCTTGGACGTAAAAACCCAAGGGCTGAGTACAGAATATTTGATAGAGTCCTAACCTCAACATATGAGGAAAGGGATTTAGGGGTGATTATTTCTGATGACTTAAAGGTAGGCAGACAATGTAATAGAGCAGCAGGAAATGCTAGCAGAATGCTTGGTTGTATAGGGAGAGGTATTAGCAGTAGAAAGAGGGAAGTGCTCATGCCATTGTACAGAACACTGGTGAGACCTCACTTGGAGTATTGTACACAGTACTGGAGACCGTATCTTCAGAAGGATATTGATACCTTAAAGAGGGTTCAGAGAAGGGCTACTAAACTGGTTCATGGATTGGGGGATAAAACTTACCAGGAAAGGTTAAAGGATCTTAACATGTATAGCTTGGAGGAAAGACGAGACAGGGGGGATATGATAGAAACTTTTAAATATATAAAGGGAATCAACACAGTAAAGGAGGAGACTATATTTAAAAGAAGAAAACTACCACAACAAGAGGACATAGTCTTAAATTAGAGGGACAAAGGTTTAAAAATAATATCAGGAAGTATTACTTTACTGAGAGGGTAGTGGATGCATGGAATAGCCTTCCAGCTGAAGTGGTAGAGGTTAACACAGTAAAGGAGTTTAAGCATGCGTGGGATAGGCATAAGGCTATCCTAACTATAAGATAAGGCTAGGGACTAATGAAAGTATTTAGAAAATTGGGCAGACTAGATGGGCCGAATGGTTCTTATCTGCCGTCACATTCTATGTTTCTATGGCTAAAACTACTGTGCAACTTGGACCAGGGCGCATGTGTGGAATGTCAGGAACGCCCACTATTAGATAACATGTGTAAGAGATAAGTTTTAGTTTAATAATTGGATGTAATTTTTGTATTCTCTGTATCCATATGGAATACGTCATTTACAGTATATATTCTTTGTTTGGAAACGGATCTGGGTCCAGTGCATCGTGTTATTGTTAAAGACACTGGAACATTTGCAGCTGCAAATAAATCAATGTTTGCTTCCTGGAATCCGTGTCCATTCTCTTATGTACTTCTTAGCCTTGCATTCATATAACACTGGTAAACCACATGACAAATATTCTGTCAAGGGTATTTAAAGGGAAAATCATCCATGATGGGAATAATTTCGTCATTGATCGTATATGTGAAATTTTCTGCAGCATGAGCCCAGCCCATTTCCTAAACCCTATACACTGAACACGGTAACTTACTATAAAATACTTTTTCCAGTAATCAAAACTGGAAAAAAAGTCTTCAAACAGAAATACTCCTTTAATTCAGTATAAATTCCTGGGTAGGCGGTAAATTCTTGAACAAAAAGGTATGACGGGTAGTAGGTTTCTTAGTATAGTCCTTATAAATATGTAAAATAGGAAAAACAAAAATCCAGTAGTGCAATACATTAATTTAAATGTAGTATATGTAGCAAAACAGTTGTAGCTTACTTGAATTTAATGGAGCTATGACCTCCCCACACTGATACACCCGGACCAGGTTGGATTCATCCCCACAAGACAGGCATCGGACAACACCAGGAGAGCCTTTAACACAATCTGGTATGCCCAGAACCAGCACATCCCGTCGGTAATGCTCTCACTGGACGCAGAGAAGGCGTTCGACAGCCTTCTCTGGCCTACATGTTCCAAACGATAACACACCTGAATTTTCCAGCTGGATTCCTGAACGCCCTGACGGCAATCTCTAACCGCCCCACTGAGAAACTCCTCTTACCCAACATTACTGCCCAAACATTCACCATCACAAATGGGACCAGGCAGGGCTGCCCTCTCTCTCCTCTACTATTTGCAATCTCGTTAGAACCACTTCTGCAAACCATACGCAGCCACCCCGACATCCACGGCATCCAGATCAGACAAGACACGTACACGGTAGCGGCGTATACGGACGACGTCCTCCTGACCCTCGCGGACCCGATACCTTCCTTGAACGCCACCCTCAACGTGATAGCCGAATACGCCAGCTTCTCCGGGTACAAAATGAACCTGTCGAAATCCATTCTCATACCTATGGCGATGAACGCGCAACAAATCACCCTCCTCCGACGCGCCTTCCCCTTCCAGACCACCACGACCCACCTCACATACCTGGGCATTCGACTGCTCCTAAAACTGGAAGACACCTACAAACTAAACTACCAACCACTGCTAGCAACAGCTCACCTGGATCTACAACGCTGGGACAACCTGGGGATTTCCTGGCTTGGTAGAGTTACAACCATCAAAATGAACTTGCTACCGCGCTTTTTATATCTCTTTCAAACGCTACCCATCCCCATACAGAAAAAAGACTTCCACGACCTCCAGGCCGCCATTGATAAATTCATATGGAAGGCTAAACAACCACGGATCCGCAGGTCGACCATGTACGTCCCCAAAACCAGCGGGGGCCTCAGACTACCTAACTTCCAACAATACTACAACGCAGCCCAACTGACCCACATCCAACATTGGCACACACCCCCGAACACCAAAAGATGGGTGGACCTGGAGCACGATGTCATGGGCTGGGACCAGCCCTCATCCTATATGTGGGTGCCCCCCGCCCACCGCCCGCTCCCTCCACACACCTCCAAGGCAATCACCCAAACGTTAGCTCTCTAAGACAAACTAAACCCTAAATACGAGCTGTCCTCTTTCATCTCCCCGGTAACGCCAATATACCGCAACAAACTCTTCCCACCCGGGATAGTCGCAAAGCACTTCCGCGCATTTGATCACAGGCACATCTCCATACTGCTCCACCTGTACCACCAGGGAGAAATCATCGCCTACAAAGTCCTCCCGGGCGGCGATTCACTTACGACAAGGGACTATTTTCGTTACATGCAGCTCAGGGACCTGGCAAGACAGCCAATGATTAAACAGGCGGGGACCTCACCCCCGACACCATTCGAGAAACGGTGCTTCGATGCACCCCTACACCCAAGGCAAATCTCTGACTTATACACAACCCTGACGACACATACCTCTCAAATCAACCTCAACTACATCGCCACATGGGAACGAGACCTTGGACCACCAGAAGAAGCGAGCGACTGGGCAGAAATCTGGGAAGCAACGAACTCCCTGACAGTATGCGTTACGCACAAAGAACAAGCATACAAAACGTTATTCCGCTGGTACCTGACACCGCACAGACTCCACAAAATGAGCCGAAAATCCGACAACTTATGCTGAAGACTATGCGGCGAAACAGGCTCCTACCTACACTGCTGGTGGAACTGCCCCAAAATCAAGCCACTCTGGACTGAAATCCGTGGCCTCATAGAACAGACTCTCGACAAACCCATCACGGCGCACCCTTGGATGATGCTACTCAACAAACCACTAGACTCCCTTACAAGGAGCGAAAACAAACTAGCCGCCAGGATAACGCTGGCAACCTGAAGGGCAATCGCGGACCTAGACGAATTAACCGCACAGATACACGACTCATATAAAGCGTTCCACCGAACCTGGGACCCGTGGGACATGAACAACCCAACTTTGGCCCCAACCGCACAAACTTAAACACCCCAGCTGACAGTCGAACCCACCCGAACCATCCTCTGGACCAGAACCGCTATGAGAGAAAAGCGCGCACACCAGTACCACTCACGCTCACCCCCACACCCGACACACCTCCCTCCCTCCAGCCCTACAAAATACACCATCCCGTCAACACCCTACACCACTACTACCCCCCTCCCAATGGAGGCCCGACGGGCGCGGGCGGATGGCCGGGGGGGAACTCACCCACATCCCCTACCACCCTTACCCTTCCCTGACACCAGATAAGGGAGAGAGCCCAGAAGAGGAGGGGAAGAGACAGGAACCACCCCCATGCCAGACCCCCGACCCCACCCACTGACTAATACCACCCGAGGGGCGGCACAGACCGGAGGGAAGAGCAACGCCCAAGACAAACACCGGCCTAGAGTTAGGGCATCAGAGCGACAGGATCCCGACAACGAGCACCCTCATGGCCCAAATACCACTACTGGCACGATCAGGGACCACACCACCGCGGCCCGACACCTAAACCTGATGGGACACACAAAACCAATCAGCATCAGAACTCACCCCCGAGGAAACCTGGCCCCGGCTCCTAGCCCCCAACCAAGCAGCTGAAACTCGGCAAATGTAAGGAGTGCACAAGCAAAAAGAGAACCCCCCCTCACGCTACCATAACCCATCTATTCCTACTGAGCCCCCACCTCCCAACCCCCCTGCCCCCGGCCCCCACATGCTAGCACCCGGTCACAACACACAGCACCCTTCCCACGAGACTAGCCCACAGCATAGACTGAACCCAAGCAGCCTCTTCATGCATCAAGAGGCCAGAAGATTACCACTTAGGAACACGCCCAGGGCCCCACTGGCATCCACGCACGCTAACACCAAAGGACACGGGTCCACACATCCGGAGCGGGATGGTCAGTACACACATAGAACCACAACAGAAGGACAGCAGAAAGGCACCCGGAACCCCTCCCTCCCCTTCTCTCTTAGGCATACCCCCCACCTCCCCTAAGTACCAAGAACACAACCGTGACTAGCACAGTAAAATGAACAGTGGGCAATTACAGATGAAAGGAAAATGTTCGCAAAATGCTCGTTAAATGCAATCTGTACCAACAACTGATACCCTCCCCGCCCCCCTCTTCTGTACCCCCTCCTCCCCAAAAAAGATATGAAATGTTACGGAAAATGTTGAAAATAAAGAATTTATACAAAAAAAAAAAAAACTGGAGCTGGTCATAGCTCCATTAAATGTGAGTAAGCTACGACTGTTTTACTACATATACTACGTTTAAATTGATATATTGCACTATTGGATTTTTGCTTTTCTTGTTTTATACACACTTTACTAAGAATTTACCACCTACCCAATAATTCATACTGCATTTAAAGAGGTATTTCTATTTTAAGACTTTTTAGGAATATTTTTTATTTTTTCACACATTGTGTAGAAATAGTATTTAATTTGTATTCTTGTGGCACAGCCTCTTTTTCTTTGTCTGTTAGTGTTTACAATACAGCCTAGGGACACCTCCAGTGGCCACTTCTCAGACAGTCACAAGAGGTGCTTCCTGGGTGACTTTTAGTGTCTCCACACTCTGCATGGACACGTTGAACTTTCCCCATAGAGATGCATTGATTCAATGCATCTCTCCTGAGGAGATGCTGATTGGCCAGCGGGGCACTTTGGCCCTGCCCCCACCCTGCCTTTTTGGCACATATTATAAGAATTGATTATCTCAGCCAATCCAATGCTTTCCTATGAAGAACCTAACTAGTGTTTTAAAATTCGGGAACCTAAATAGTGTTTTAACACTATAGGGTCAGGAATACACGTTTGTATTCATGACACTATAGTGCTCCTTTAATCTTGTGAACTACAATTATGGGATGCTCAGCCATCCCATAAACTTGGTTTTCCATCATTTGTAGTTCACAACCATGCTTACAAAAAGTTTGAGATTGGGGAGTGGGGCCTAATCGGCCACCCTGCTTGAAGACATATAGCATAAAAGCCCATGCAATTCTCTCATCTTGTCAGCTACTTAGCAACATATAGCTGCTTGAAATTACTTACCCACCTGGGATCATTTATCGTAAGCTGTGCTGGTGCTGAGCTTGAGTCGTTTTTTCTGACAATTAGCCCTTTTAGAGTAGTTCTCAAGATTGTGGCCTAATCCGGGTTGTCAGTGTGCAGGGGCGGCGGGCGACTCTTCTATAACAGCAAGCCAGCCTGCTTGTTTTTTTGTATCACAGCCTTCCCCTCATTAATGGACTGGATGGGTTATTTTAGTCCTCCCTGGAGCAGCTCTGTACTTACTCTCTTGAGGAGTTGTCAAACACCACAAAAATCAGAGGGACTATCCTTGAAGGATATCCATGACAAGATAGCCCACAACGGCAGCTACCTACTGAGACTCCAGATCTAACCAGGCCACCAAGAGAGAGGCCCTCCTGAAATTCTTCTTCAGCTGTGTTGGTCTGTGGAATCCCTGGCCCCGCCTTTGGATGTCTTCCCAGCACTTGGAGTTGGATGAAATGCGGTCCTCTGACAATTTAGAGCTAGGGTCTTTCCTACGTTCCCTCATATATTTCACTCTATCTTGGTTTCTAAAAACGTTGACCTACTATGTGATTTTATAACTGCATCAGGGGCAATATATTAGTCTGTTTGAGGTAGTTTTCCCTCATCTCAAATTTGTGTAACTATGATATTCATATAATTGCTACAAGGAATTGATTATCATTTACTTGTGCTATATTTTGTGTCTTTATTTACTATTGTAGCTGCACAACCAAAATTAAAAATGTTAAAAAAAGTTTGGGATCTACAATTCTCATGACAGCATAAAAAGTTGCAGAGCATCAGAGGAATAAATATCACACAGGGCACAGTGAAGGCCTAAAGTCATCCTTGACACTTGTCTTGACCTTTACACCTAAATCTTCCTCACAGATGGAAAACAGCAATCCCTGAACTTAGCTGCTTGTTATAGAATGTAGTAAATGCATGGACTGTGAAGAAATTGATTGACCAAAATCTCAGAACTTTCAAATCGGCAGCAAAATGTATAATAGACATTGCACCAAAAACAGACAGCAACCAAACACCAAATTGTGAATTAGAAATTAACTTAAAAACTTAGACACTGATGAGTTTTAGAAATTCTTCAACTCAGCTGTAATCACAATTTGGCTATTTTAGTCTACACTTTGCAATTTGGATTTCAATCCCCTTCATTGGTCAGCCCTACACGGGTTTCGGTGGGTCCTTTGGACCCAGGTGGCAGCATTTTGCACCAGTGATTTGGTGAATTAACCCCTAAATTTGTTTGTGCAGTGAAGAATTTTAAGGTGTTTTAGAATAACTGGTGAAGGTCACTTACTAGTGTGAGAATTGAAAGTGAATTTCAAATTTAAAGGGTTTCTCCAACCCCTTTTTGTTGTTATAAGAATAATGTCTTATTGGCATTATTCTATAGGTCCACCCCAATATAAACATTAAAAAGGCGTTTTAAAATAAAGTGCTGCTCAGTGTACCCAGTCTGATATCACAGCAGCCATGCCAAGGTCCAATCAAAGGCTTCTCATAGAAAAAGTGGGCAGTGCTCGCTGAAGACAGACTTTTTTATGAACTCTGGTCCGGGCTGCCCAAGTCACATGTGCTGGGGGTGCACCTTGCTCCCAGCACTTAATTAAAAATATCTCTTAAAGTGCAGTTTCAAAATGAAACACTGCATATCCAGACTCCTACCACTATTACAACTTTAAAAAGTAGAAGTGGGCCCTTGCACTCTCATGAGCTTATAAATTAGCGGTTTTAGAATGAAAAACAGGTACTTACCTCTCTAAGAAATACCCATCTTGTTTATTGCCTAGGTGCCACTCCGACCTCAAAATATAAAATACCTTGTTGGAAGTGCACTCACAGGACTTGATACTGTTGCCAAAAATGTGCCATTTATTCAAGCTTAAAAAGTTGATTACATATTGACACTATGTAATCAACTTTTGAAGCTTGAATAAATGGCACATTTTTGGCAACAGTATCGAGTCCTGTCAGTGCACTTCCAACAAGGTATTTTATATATATATATATATATATATATATTACTGGATACTGGAGAGACTGATTACGGACACTACTCCGAAGTTATAAGAACCCATATCTCACCTATGAACATACAGCAAAGACACCATTTGGTGTGAATTACAAGGTCTTTTATTTTATTTTTATTGTATTTCTGTACATTTTAAGTTATTTTAACCTTTGTGGTGCAGCCCATATTTACTCTTGTATACTTCTGTTCTTGCAAAGGGTAAGAGAAATTCCATTTGTTGTGGTTGCTGCCTTTATTCTGATATATTAGCTCTGATCTATTTGTGTGTTTCTGCATATTCCCCTCCGATTTCCTCTCCCTCCCCAAAATATTTGATAAAGTTTCCTTAGCCCACCACTATAGAACCGGGAGGGTGTAGCCCTACGAGGATTTTAGTCTACCTGAGTTGGCACTGATTCCATCTTCCCCTTGCGAAGGGCTTTACTAGCCAGTTATCTCTTATTGCCTCATGTTTTAATTTAATTTTATAAAAACCCATTCTATATGCCTCTTTATGTGAAACTACGATATCGTACTGATTTAACTGTGATTTATTTGCTATTCTATAAACCGTTGATGTAACACATATGGAATGGATGAAATAAAGAATTAAAAAATAAAAATAAAAAAAGTAAAAGTAGAAGTGGTCATAGTGGTTGGAGTAACCCTTTAAATACAAAAAATCAAAATAGAAAAAGATTCTCTTAATCAGCTATATGCTGATTTAGTCTGGCTACTTTGGCCTTAAATGTTAAATTCACTTTGAATTCTCTAGACCTGTATGAGTGGGGCTAGTCTGCTGTGAATAGAAGCTTTTAGGAGACAAGAATGGTTGTTATTTTCCGAATCATTATTTGAAGGTACTATTTTACGCAGCAGTCTGTAGTCTATACAGTCTCATACTGTCCTTCCCCAAGCTACGTATTCTAAAAGAAGTGGTGCCAGTCTGATATACTCGACTTCTGTATTTGGAAAAGTGAATAGAAGCTTTTAGGAGACAGGAATAGTTGTTATTTTTAGAATCATTATTTAAAGGTCCTATTTTACTCAGCAGTCTTTAGTCTATAGTCTCATTCTATCCTTCCCCAAGCTACTTATTCTAAAAGAAGAGGCTCTATAAATAGCACGTATACAAACGTCTGCAAATAAGCTGTGGATAGGATAGTACTTTGAGATTCTCTTAAGAATAGAGACTGTCCTTAGTGTGTGTGTGTGTATGTGTAGATATATACAGATCCAGAATTTCCCTGCACACAGGTTAAATGTAGTATTGCCATATATGCCGGATGCCATACCAAGGTCATTGGTATACAAAAAAAATAATCAAAGTGATGGTCTGCGCTCACAGTCTTCGTAAAACTTAGCTTTTAATCTTCACATAAAAAAATGAATATGATGCTAGACAGCGTCAACGTTTCAGTCCCCGTTCGGGACTTTCCTCACACATACACACACACCCACACCCACACAACAAACACAGACTATGAAAACAAAACGTAGCTGTCCTAGAGAATTTGTCCACTTTCGCTGATTTGACCTAAGATATGAAATTTACTTTTAAATAAAGGGACACTATAGGTACACAGACCACTTCATCTCATTGACGTGGTTTGTGCAGTGTCCCTGTCCCCTTAACCCTGCAATGCAAAACAATGCAGTTTTACAGAAACTGCAATTTTTACATTGTAAGGTTAAGACTGCTTCTAGTGGCTGTCTCCCAAACAGCCACTAAAGGCGCTTACTGTAGTTTCATGGAGGTTAGCTCCCATGGGGAAGGCTTAATCTGCGCTTTAGGTCCTGGAATTACACTGAGTTCGGAAGAGGAGGAGACCAATCTAGCATTGAGGGGCCTCGGCATTTGAGACAGGTAAGTGTTTAAAGGATTTTTAACCCTTTCATTACTAGCGTAGGGTCAGGGTGTGTGGGAGAGTGCAGAGGTACAGTTTGGTATTCCTAACACTACATTGTTCCTTTAACAACAGTACACACATTGGTGAATAATCCTTAAATATATCAAAATATATTTTCCAAAAATAATCTGAAGAACAAATGTAATTAAATTATGCAATTACAAATATGTTTGTTTGCACGTGACAGAGTCACTGCAATTTCAAATCTCAAAGGTAAGTAGATCTACCAAATTTAGAATGCATGTTAAAAAAAAATCACTACCCTACCATCTTCTAGTAATTTATAACTTCGAGGTTATAAAACATGATCTATGAATTATGGGAATCTAAAATAAAAAGTATTCCCATAGTGGATTGCCTTAAAGATTATAATGTTTTTTTTTCCCATTCTGGTACTACTTGGTGTTAGCTATCCCAGACAACATACTAGAGTCTACAGTTGCTGTGAGCTCACATTTTATTTCTTAGAAATCAATTGGCTCTCAAAATTATGAGTAAGTCTAGCATCACAAAAATTAGATAATGTCAAGTCTCCAAAGAATGGCAAAAGTCAATGAGCACTACAATTTCTGTAGCTCTGGAATTAGGATTTTGCGACTTCCACCAGCAACAGTGCATGTGTAATACCATTTCCATTTTCACAGTCTTTCCCTAGCTTTATCTTTATATTACTCTATGCATTCTTCAGCTTCCTTTCCTTCTTGGCTCTTGCTGCCATTATAGCAAAGAATAATTTAGGGGCAATAGTTCTTAGGTACACTGCTAAAGTAGGAACCACTCCAGCCACCAGGACTTCCTTTTTTCGTTCACCCACAGCTCTTAGAACAATTTGTGCCACATCTTCTGGTGATCTTCCTTCAGCTGTGTTTTTATCCGTTACTAAACAGTGAAGGAAAGAGACATGTTCACTTAGCAGGACAAACATTACTACTGATTATTTTATTTCTCACAATGAACTTACATATGGAAAGGAGCATTATTGCCTGAGAATTTAATTTCCTAGGTTTTACTAACTCCCTGGTAATGTTGCTGAATTGCAAAACAGTTTGCTAACAGTGAATTGCTAATCACCTGGTTTGCTGCCAAGCTCTGATGCTACCTGGCGATCCAGTGACACGCTTCCAGCTTCTGCAAAGCTGGAGAAGCCACGGTGGTTGCCATTCATGGACTGAGAGTGACAACTGACTGCCCTCAGCCAATGGCTGTCATTCTGCACAACGAAAGTTCAAATCACTAAAGTGTTCATGGTAATTGGAGTAACCATTTAAGTTTTCATTACACCGAATGAAAACAGGCAAAATAAATTCCATGCATGTTTTCTTTGGGGACATACATAACCCTCAATTAAATGTTGTACCTATAACATTTCACCTTGTTAATTTCTTATTTAACATTTTAAATAACCAGCTAGTGGTAACAAACCTCCATATTTGGACCCGTCATCAGTTACTGCATTCATAGACAGATTTGTCTGGATGTATCCCGGGCTTATCACAGTAACGTTGATATCAGTATCTGCCATCTCTGCTCTTAGACAGTCAAAGAATGCCTGTGTAGCATGTTTGGAAGCAGCATCTGCCAAAACATGCATTTAAAAAGTTATTATAGACCATAGGATGGCACTAATTTACTCCTATAATCATTAATAGATCAATATATGCTAAAAACTATACAAATCCCCCATTTTTATTCCAAAAAGTTGAAACACCTTTGTTCAGAATGAAAGAAGGAAAGAAAGTAGGAAAGAAAGAAAGAAGGAAAGAAAGAGAGAAAGAAAGATCCTATCCTGACAACTAAGTTTATGTTCGTCTATTCCTGTTTCTTTATTAACTAGTTCCAGATCTGCACCACTAGTGGCCTCCCTAACCACTAACCTTTGATTTCACGTTCGTCATCCTCACCTGCCTGGACTAATCAAGAAGCTACAAAAGGCTACACACAACTTGCCACATGGCATTTACAATGAAGTCGATGCTCATCCTGAAAGACTTCAGTTCCTGGCTCCTGTAAATGTTCCTGTGGACCTACGCTTCTATCCTGCTAACCAGCTTTATACCAACCTGTTTCAAACCAGCCTAACCTACACTTCTATCCTGCCAACCAGCTTTATACCGACCTGCTCCAAACCAGCCTAACCTACACTTCTATTCTGCTAACCAGCTTTATACCGACCTGCTCCAAACCAGCCTAACCTACACTTCTATCCTGCTTTATCCTGCCAACTAGCTTTACATCAACCTGCATAACACCAATCTGGACTTTGCCTCTAATATTGCAAGGTGTTATTTGCAAACTTTATCAGTACTCCTTCCAAGAGGGGGCTGATTCACTAAAGTCTTATTTTCCTGAAACCTTGTTCCGTTCTGTTCTATTCTTTTATACATGTCCATCTATATTCAACCTATACTTTCATCTATAGGTTCTCTTATTATCTCCCTACATTTTGTTTATTATCTATATAGGGCATATTGCCTAAACCTTTGTTTCTCTTATTGTCCTTCTCCCTATTGTTTCATTCATGGGAGGGAGGGAGGGAGGGAGAGAAAGGAAGGGAGCCATTTATGGGAGGAAGGGAGGGAGGGAGGGAAGGAAAGGAAGGGGAGGGAGGGAAGGAAGAAAGGAAATATTTCATAACTTATGCATTTCTTCTGTACCTAATGAACTGTGCTTGTTTAGACAGATTAGTGCATTTTGCAAGAATCATAAAATTTCAAAAAATTAATAGGGAATTAATAGGGAGCTATGTACTTACATGCTGATCGGAAAGGGATGCTTATTTTGCCTTGGACACTGCTGATTACAACAATATGCCCACGCCCATTCTTGATCATGGAAGGAAGAAGAGCTTTAAAGGGAGAAAAAAAAAGTAATAGCAAGTAAATACAGACTGAAAATAAGTATAATAAAAGGCCTTTCACGATACTCGTAAAGTTAAAGGCAGCGGGGGATATATAAATGTTATATCCCAGCAGCCAAGACAATGGGCAATGCAAGATAAGCTGGGGGACAGGCATCACCAGACTTGTCCAGGTGCAGTGAGGCCTCAAGCCACTTTTGGTATGACACAACTTAACTGAGGGCAAAGTGTGTCAGTATGTTTGTATGGGCCACTCTATGTATGTATCAGTATGTTTTTACGGGTCACTCTTTGTGTATGCCAATATGTTTGTATGGAGTAAGGAACAACGCACACATAAAAAAGGCTACTTAAAATCACCTATCTCAGCAAACAAATATGGGGATTAATTTACACTAAATGGCCATATTGTGTTACAACAGATTACTAAAAACACTTTAGCTCATTTAGCACTAGCACTATTTAATGTGTCTCCCACGTTGTAATTAGTGTAGGAACCACTGATATTGGGGTACTGCAAAGTAGTGGTGGGTTTAACATAATATGGCCATATAGTGGAACTGAATCCCCTTATTTGTTTGCTGATAGGTGATTTTAAGTAGCCTTATAACATTTAAAATGGTATTTTTATGTGTGCGCTGTTCCTTAATCTGTATTATATATAAATGTTGGTCTGTACAGCAGCACTATTGCTGAGAAATGCCTGTTTCGGGTGTTCCCCCAATTTTTGTCTTTACTAGATAAGTTTGTAAGGGTCCCTCTGTGTGTCAATATGTTTGTATGGGTCACTGTGTGTCAATATGTTTGTATGGTTCACTCTGTTTATATGTCATTATGTTTGTATGGGTCTCGATGCGTGTGTCTCAGTATATTTGAATGTGTCACTGTGTGTCAGTATGTGTGTATGGAATAGTCTGTCTATGTGTCAGTGTGGTTTAATGGATCACTCTGTCTGTGTGTCAAAATGTTTGTACTACAGGAAAAAAGGAAAAGAAAGCCATACTGCCCCCCTCCCATCACACCACCCAATATTCCCAGCATTTCCCTCGAACACTATTTCCCCTTGTTCAACCCCACCATTGACAATTAAAAAAAAAAAAAAAGTTCAAACTGGAACAATGTCATAGCCGAAGACTGACATATAGTTGTGTATATGTTATAAACTGCTTAACTGCTGCTTAATGTTAAAAAGACTAAGATCATGGCAAACAGATGGGGAAGAAGTGAAGGCAGTGACAGATTTTATTTTCCTGGGATCCAAGATCTCCTCAGATGGTGACTGTGGTCATGAAATTAAAAGATGTTTGCTTCTGGGGAGGAAAGCTATGGCAAGCTTGGACAATCTGGTAAAAACGAAAGATATTACACTATCAACAAAGGTCCGCATAGTCAGAACTATGGTATTCCCAGTAGTAACATATGGATGTGAGAGCTGGACTATAAAGAAGGCTGAGCGTCGTAGAATTTATGCCTTTGAACTGTGGTGTTGGCGAAAACTGCTTAGAATCCCTTGGATTACAAGAAGATCCAATAAATCCGTACTACAGGAAATCAAGACAAACTGTTTACTGGAAACTATGATCATGAGGCTGAAGCTCAAATATTTTGGCCATATAATGAGAAGGAAAGATTCTCTAGAGAAGACTCTGATGTTGGGAAAGATTAAAGGGACACGAAGAAGGAAACAACAGAGACGGAGATGGGTAGATCATGTCACTGAAGTCAAAGACATGAAGTTGTTGGAGCTCAGAGGGGCAGTGACTGACAGATATACCTGGCGTGCTATGGTCCATATGGTCACGGAGAGTCGAACATGACTGAACGACTAAACAACAACAACAATAACAACGTTATATACATTGTCCATATGATGTACTCATGCACAATGCACGTCATATGTTTTATCATTTGTATTGTGCAGTATTACCATGTCATGTATAATGCTGATGAACCAATAAAAATGATTTAAAAAAAAAAACTGCACTCAATTCTCATGAGCCAAATTAAGGGGCAATAAGACTCAGGGCCAGCACAAGTCTAGTATAGTTCAAATACCATTAGTAGAAAGAAAGTCCAGGCACACCATTGCTTGACAAAGACCCATTTGTGGGTCGAAATGTTGTGGTGTTCACCTTGTTCCAATAAATGGGCCTTTAAGAGCAGTGGAGTGCCTGGACTTTCTTTCTACTATTGGTATTTAATATGTGTGTATTAGTCATTCTGTGTATGTGGTAATATATTTGTTATGGTCAATGTGTGTATGTTAGTATGGGTCACTCTGTGTGTGTCAGTACGTTTGTATGTGCCACTCTGTGTGTGTGTCAGTATGCTTGAATGGATCACTGGATGTTAGTATATTTGTATAGGTCACTTTGCATATGTGTCAGTATGTTTGCATTGGTCATGCCATGTGTGTCAGCATGTTTGTATGGTGCACAAAGTGGTTAACTAATGTTAAATCCAAAAGCATACTTTAATAGGAACAGAGGCTGTGACGAAATGCCTTTTGTCCCTGGATTGTTAGGTGACAAGCTGCCCTTTGCCCCCGGGTTTTGGAGGAGCCTGATTGCCAGCCTCCTTCCTCATGACTATGGCCCTGGGGTGTATTGCCATTTAAAAAGAATATTTGGGGCTTATTGGCTTCTAAAGACAGTTTCTTCCCATTTGAATCCATGGGAAGGTGTGTTTCTTCCCCTCCCCCGTTTCCTGTCTATTGTTCTCCAGCAGGGCGTTGTCCCAGGCACACTGCCAAACCAGTTGGAACTGACTGCTTTTGTCCCTCCTTGGTTTCTCAACAGCCCTTGCTATGCTTTACCCCATGGAAAATCTACTCTGTTCATGGGATCTGAGCGCTGTTCACCTAGATTGGGCGCTCAGATCCGAGCTATCTGGGGATAGGTTAAATGTGGGGGTTCTGTGTAATAAAATAAGAATTATGTATTTTTATGTACTTTTACGTATTTTGCTGTTAGTGTTAAATGTAGATATTTTCTGTACCTGGAGATAATTGAGTTTACTGCAGTGCCTTAAGCCAATTATCTCCAGGATGGAGAGGAGGGATTTCATTGTGTATGTGAGAGTGTTATCATGTTAATTAGTGTTCCCATTGGTTTGTGTCCCTTTTGTCACAGTTTACCACCAGGTCCAGGGGGTGTGCCTCTGACCTGAAAACTTGTATATAAGGAGTAATAAACGCTCATTGGAGTCAGATCATCTTGTACCTTCATGAAGTTTCGGCTCATGTTTGGGGGATTGGAGAAACTACACTCTGGGGATTGCTATAATCACTATACTCCCCAGGGTATAATCACTAAGCTCTGCTAAGAGCTTGTTCCTGTTCCTGCTCTCTGGAATTCGGAGAGAGGTCGACCTGCTGGAAGCTGGACCCTGGTCCTGGGTCCAGAGTGGGTGGAGACGGCGAGATCCCAACCAAGCTGCAGCGGTTCGTGGGGTCTGCAGTGTCAGGCAGAGTGCTTGGAGTCCTCGGAAAAGCACTAGGAGCATCCGTCGGCGGAAGGTACGCGGTCGGGGTGCCAGCGTTTCCGTTCCAGAGGCAATGTTTTGTCTCTCAATCTGATCCTTTCTTTTTCTAAAGTTTTCATTTGGGGGTAGATTAGGAGCTTTAATGGGGAGTGCAACTTTTTGATTTACCCTCAGACACCACATGACCTTGCACAGGGCCAGTGCAAGGATTTCTGCTGCGGTAGGCAAATATAAATTTTGCCACACCCTCATGTCACTCCCTCACTGACAGACACACACTCACTGACAAACACACAGACACACACACTCACTGACAGACACATGCTCACTGACAGACATACACTCACTCACTCACGAACATACATACACACACAGATACCCACTGACAGACTTACACTCATTCACTGACAGACACACACAGACACTCACTGACATACATAAATACATTCACTCACTGACAGACACACACACACACACACTCACTGACATACATTCACTGACAGACATACACACACACTGACAGTCAAACACTCACTGACACACACACAGGCAGACACTTACTGGCATTCATACACTCACTGATAGACACTCACTGATACACACACTCACTGACAGTCAAACACTCACCTCTCTGGTGTCCAGTGTGGGGCAGCTCCTCACTGCTCCAGCGAGCTGTTATGCCGGTGCTGGAATGACGTCATATTACGTCTCCCGGCATCGAAGAGGGCGCGCAAGGGAGGAGTGGGAAGCTGCAAGAACAGCCTCCCTCGCCGCCTGGCTTCCCCTTCCCCCCCTCCTCCGGAGAGAGTCACCAGCATTTGTTGGCAGAGCAGGCACCTGCCATCAAGGTAAGCAGGTGCCTGCTTAGCCTTACATGGCACAGCTCTGGGGGCACCCTGAGGTGGCCAGATGGCCACCTACTGGCCCCCCCGTGACAGGACTCCTCTCTGTGCCACCACCTACGGGCGCCATGAGGATCGGCCTGGCGCTGGGGGAAGCTCAGCCCAGCACTGCGGCCCGAGACAGGGGCATGCAGCTCACCAGGAAATATCCTGGTGGGCGCCCCCAGCAGGCCGGCGCCCTAGGAGAATGCCTAGTTCGCCTAACAGTTGCGCCGGCCCTGACCTTGCAATGCCTATGGTAAGTACAACATTCCATTCAGCCATCTGGCTAGGCTTTAAGGACTAGTTTGCTATAATGGCACATACTATTTATTATAGAATATTGTTGGTTCTTAAGATGTGAATTAAGAGGAGTCCAAAAATACCTAAAAACTGAAATAAAAAGTAAGTAAGAGTTCAAGATGAATTTTTAGTGTAGGATTCACCTTCGAGGTGTGGCTTGACGGAGCAAGTGAGCTTGCCCTTTAATGGCTATTGGAGTGGTACTAAAAATCTTTTGTTATTAGAATGTGCATATGGATTTGGGAGAGCTCTGAGCTATAAACCAATAGAAAAGATGTCAATTATAATCCAACACTGAGATTTATAAAGGCAAAACAGGTTCAAAGTCCTGAATGTTCACAAACATTCTACAGATGTCAATGGTGAATGCTCTATATTTAGCATTCTTCCCCAAAACAGCATCTGTTTTGGTTTTGTACATTGCAGCATACACTGCAACTAATAAAAATATACAGACGTCAAGGGGCGGGGTCTGGCCAGCAAACGGAGCAGACGTGTGTTGCACGAGCTCCTGACTCTGGGTTTATAACAGCCAACAAGCTGTTACTCACACTTACAAGCCCCACTCGAACGAGGGGATCCTGGATGAGTATCCTAAGTCCCTATTTGAGACTAAAATCCTCCAGAAGCTAGAGATCTGCTATTGGGGCCTACTCGGAACAGAAAGAGTGAGGCGGCCGCTCTCCGATTCCCAGTGTGGACCCGCTGTACTCCTCCCCCCCTCTGGACCGGTGGGGGTGTTCCCGGTCCCCACTGGCCTGATACATGTATTTGCTGTGGTTTCAGTACACCGTCATCACTGATACTCTCACCGCAGCCCAGCTGACCAAAATGGTGGACAGGCCCCATCTTCCTAGGCACAACCTGTCACAAACCGGAACAATCCAGCATAGCTATGTGGAGCGCTGCCTAACAAGGCTGGAGGAAATCTTTGACAGATTCTGGGCAGTATTGCAAGAGCGTGTAGCAGCCTCACGAATACAACCCACAGAAGGAAACCAAGGGGAGAAAAGGGAGTCTCATCTTGGCGCGGCAACACCTAGGGAGAAGTCTCCTGTACAGGGACTTACCTCTAATCTGACTATCTGGGTCATGGTCACCAGAGTGTCCCCAGTGTAGCACTACACAGGAGAAAGCGCAAAAGGCAGCCGTGGAGGAGGTCTATGCTTCCAGGCATTAGCCTTCCTACTCGACACAACTCACCCCAACTATGGGGCAAGAAGCTTACTCAAGCTCGACACAGCCTATCTGCCATGGAGTCCTACATCACACTGTCCAGTTACACAGAGCCACTGATCCACGGAAGCAAGCCCCAGACGAAGATCAAGGTAACATCTTGGAATGGTGTTGGAGCTCCATCGGTGCAGCTTGGGGTGGCAGAGACTTGGACATTCCCTCCCTGGGAGTCAGAAGAAGGATCCACTGACTTTACCCACATTCTGACACAAACATGATCTCACTGACCATAATGCTTCATATATCCAAGTTATTTTACTCTGTACTTGTGCCTACTTAAATATTTGCAACAGTCAGACCTGGCCACCTTTTGGTATTTCTCTCCTGATTTTACTTAGAGTTTTATTTTACAGTTCTTTTTACAGCTATCCTCCCTCTCTTTCTGCCTAATCTCATAGAATTGTGGTTTGCAGACTTCTCTTATTTAATATAAAAAGGGCTCTATTCTTGAAGTTTCATTTCACACTTCCATTCTTGGTGTATAACATGACAACCTACTGACCGGGCAATGCGCCCATACAGTTTACTAGATGCCATTTTGTTACACTCTACGTTATTTTACATTGTGATGTGCATGATATCAGTGGATACAGCTTGTACAACTAGCCTGATTAAACTCCTTGTCATATACCTATACCACTCTCTTCAGGTCTATTCCATTTTCTGACTTTGACACACTTTGTTTTATCCTTGTTCCAGACATGACGGACTAGCTTGATGAATATACTGTACTAATTTTAAAAATGTGCTCTTATTTCTTATGCCATACCTATGTATCTAAATGTTATTAATGTCCCTACCCCTGCTGTTTTGGCATGGTAGGTGTTTGTTCTTTCTGCACAGCAAAAATAAAGAATAAAAAAATAAATGATTTTTTTGCTGTATGCCAATTCACTTCTAATAAATCACATTGTACTTTTTTGAAAGACCTGTGTGTGCATCCTGGATTTCTACTGTATACTATTTGGAAGCATTTTTATTGCACCCAGGCAGTTGGATATAAAGTCCTGGTAAGGAGAGTGCCAAGCCATCTATTTGTGTTATATATATATATATATACACAATGACGTGAAGGCAGAAAGATCGCATCAAAATGACAGTGTTTACTCACCTTTTGTTAAAGCCACTGGTCCAAAGTAATTGATATCCATTATCATTCTGTCCACACTGACTTTAGTGTTCAAAATAGTACCACGATAACTTATCCCTGCATTGTTAATGAGGATATCCACATTTCCCACAAGTTTTACGATTTCTTTCGCTGCACTGGAAACAGCCTCCACATCAGACAAGTCAAATATTACCTTATGCGGCTTGTGCGTCTGTTGAGCAGAGAAGAGATTTAATCATCTGCTACAATATATACAGATCAACAATTTTACCCACACCTAACCACACAAAGGGTGTGCAAGTGCTGGAGACATTGTAGAGGTATTATTATAATAACAAGGTAACTTCTAGGATATACAAGTAGGAGTGTAATATACAGTTATAATCAAAATTATGCAACCACCATTGACAATCAGGTTTATTGTCAATATTATCACTCTCTGCAATGAACAAATCAAACAAAAGCAAATGAAATAGCTCAATACAATGAATGCTTCAAGTGGTTTCCCCAAATTCAACTGAAAATGCATCTTATCTCCAGTCTCAAATTATTTAACCCTGTGAATAGAATTTCTCACAACAGTACAAATATGCAAAACAGGTATTGTCTCAAGCACATCTGATGCAATTAAACAAGGGCTTCATTAGTTGGACCAGGGGTGCTCGAGCTGGATCACTTGAAATACCTGAACTGGCTAGGGGTTTGTTGAGTGTCATGTTTGACTGCATGTTAGAGATATGGCAAAATAAGTTAAGAGAAGTGATCATTGCTCTTCACAAACAAGGAACAGGATACAAAAAGATAGCAATGGCACTGAATGTTCCTAGAAACAACATTGGAAGCATTCAAAAAAATTATTCAACCCTTCATGGCAAGCATCTTTAAAACTTAGTATAACACCCTTTAAATTTTGAATACAACTGTATATGCCATATGTATAGTGTAATACCATCATATACTAAGTGAAGTGTATAGGCGAAATGGTACAGGGATGGAAAATTGTCTTAAAATGAAGAAATGTCTGTGTCCAATATATTCCAAAAGAAAGATGGTAACAAGTGAACAAGAGAGTCAGGGATATACCTGGCCACAATATGACTGCACTATGTCAAGGCACATGCACATCTTTATTGCCTGACAAATTTAAAACTTACTAAACATTTGTATAAAAATTCACTAGGGTACTCTTTTAGTACGCCCATCATTTTATTCACTCAGATAGGGACAACTGCTGCAATCAGAGGCAGAACTAGCAAGGGAATTACATATTTAAAAAACTAACAAACCTTAACAGAACCTTTGCGCATCCGATTAAGCTCTCTCACCACATCTTCCAGACTTTCTTCATTGCGCCCACATAATACCAACTGTGAACCAGCTGCATAAAATACCTTGGCACATTCTTAAGGAAAATAGACAATATTAATGAAAAAAGTGAATCACCGGCACTGATCACTCATTACCACTTATCACCCCAAATTCATGACTATTTAGAATTAGCCCCAGCATTAACTGTTTCTGTACCATAAAAATGATTATTTCTTCACAGTTTTCTATTTGAATAATTAATACAGTTGTGCCCAAAGGTTTGCATACCATTGGAGAATTGGTAATATATGTACCATTTTTAAAGAAAACATGAGTGAGCAGGCAAAACACATTTATTTTATTTCTTATGGGACTCATATTCAACTGTAGGTTACAACAGAATGGCACAAGCATAAAACAAAACATGTCAACAAAGAATAACCTGAAATTACTCCTGTTCAAAAGTCTGCATACTCTTAGTTCTTACTACTGTGTATTGCCCCCTTCAGCACCAATGACATTGTGCAGTCTTTTGTAACAGTTGTCTATGAGGCCCCTAATTCTTGCAGGTGGCATAGCTGCCTATTCGTTTTGGCAAAATGCCTCCAGGTCATGCAAAGTCTTTGGTCGTCTTGCCTGAACCGCACGTTTGAGATCTCCCCAGAATGGCTCGATGATATTAAAGTCAGGAGACTGTGATGGTCACACCAGAACCTTCACATTTTTCTGCTGTAACCACTGGAGGGTCAACTTGGCCTTGTGCTTAGAGTCATTGTCATGCTGGAAAGTCCAAGAGCGTCCTATGTGCAGCCTTCGTGCAGAAGAATGCCAGTATTTTCTGATAACATGCTGCATTTATATTGTCATCAATTCTCACAAGATTCCCTGTGCCTTTAGAGCTCACACCCCCCCAAAACATCAGTGAGCTCCACAGTGGGGATAATATTCTTTTCAGTATATGTCTTGTTGACCCCACTCCAAACATAGCGCTTATGGTTGTGACCATAAAGCTCTATTTTGGTCTAGTCACTCCAAATTACAGTGTGCCAGAAGCTGTGAAGTGTGTTAAGGTGTTGTCGGGCATATTGTAACCAGGCTTTTTATGGCATTGGCACAGTAAAGGCTCCTTTCTGGCAACTCGACCATGCAGCTCATTTTTGTTCAAGTATCGTCATATTGTGCTCCTTGAAACAACCACACCATATTTTTCCAGAGCAGCCTGTATTCTCCTGAGGTTACATGTGGGTTTTTCTTTGTATCCCGAGCAATTCTTCTGGCAGTTGTGGCTGAAATCTTTCTCTGTTTACTTGACCTTGGCTTCGTTTTGAGAGATCCTTGAATTTTCCACTTCTTAATAAGTGATTGAACAATCTGACTGGCATTTTCAAGACTTTGGATATCTTTTTATATCCTTTTCCATCTTTATAAAGTTCCATTACCTTGCTACGCAGGTCTTTTGACAGTTTTCTGCTCCCCATGGCTCAGTATCTCGCCTGCTCAGTGCATCCATATGAGCGCTAACACACTCATTGACTATTTATACACAGACACTAATTGCAATTCAAAAAGCCACAGGTGTGGGAAATTAACACTTGATTGCCATTTTAACCTGTGTTTGTCACCTTGTGTGTCTGTAACAAGACCAAACATTCAAGGATATGTAAACTTTTAGGGCCATTTGCATGTTTTATTTTGTCATTATGATTTAAAAAGGAGCAAAACAACTATGTGATAATAAATGGCTTCATAAGATCACTATCCTTCAATAAAATACACTTTTTTGCATGATCAGTCAATATTTTCAAAATGAATGCCAAAATTTCACAATTTCTGCCAGGGTATGCAAACTTTTGAGCACAACTCTATATGTCAAACTAATTGTAATGTAATTATGCAGGGAAACGTTCACAATATATACAATGTGCATTTAATCTTTTTAAATTATTTCTTAATTAATATATATATAAATAAATCATGTAAAGGTGGCCGCACTCACATTTTTTTTTGTGATCCTGAGGAAAGTCCCTCCGAGGGACTGAAACGTTGATCTTTTTAACGATGTTGGAATAAAATTTGGATTTTTAAAAAAAAAATTTTAACAAGAACCGTGAGTGCAGCAATCTTTACATGATGTTTGGATATTGAAGCCCTGGCTATATTGCACCCGGCCATTTACGTGAGTTATAGCTTGAGTGCAAGGATCCATAGACTTTTTATACATATGAGTTTATGTATATATGAATTTATATCATAAATATATGATGATGATGATAAATTCATGGCTGTATTATTTGTCAACCTGTTAGGATATTTACTATATTTGCGGTTGTGGATTAGTTGAGAAAAGCAAAATTTAGACATGCTGGAGAGAGAATTCAAGAATTTTTCCACTTTGACTTCGTCTACAGTTTGCAATTTGCTTGAAATTGGTCTACAATTGACCAGTTCAGAGACAAATCCTGTATTCAGATAGTTGACTGTGAAGAATACTATGTGATGATGAAAGTTTAACAAAATATTAACTAATTGAATCTTGTTATGTTTACCTTTGCCAAGACCAGATGTAGCCCCTGTTATTACAACAACAGCATCTTGGATGTAAGCTCTGCTGCGAAGCCGCTGAAGCAGCCTGTACAGACTGTAGACCCCCACGCTGCCTAATAAAAGAGGAATGATCGCCCACGATGTCAGGAAGCTCATTTTCAATGGTAATAATCCACGTCTAAAAGCAAAAAGGATTATATTGGCTTAAAAGCTAATACACACACACACATATATATAAATGTCCACACATATATATGTCACACTGATAAAGTATAGCAAGTTATTCATCCAGGCCTTTTATGCATGAAGAAGATGAGCATGTTAATATAATTTACATATTAACACATGCATAGGTTCCTATATTTCCATGTGTTCCTATGTATTTGAAAGCACCAATTCACCTCTCACTTTAGTGTCTCTCTCCATCTCTCCCTGTTTTGTGTCCCCACCTTACACCCTCCTCAGTGTCTTCTTTCCACTACTGATCCCTCGCCTGTTTTCTACATCTTTAAAAACTACCTTGGTTACTAGTGTAGCAAAGACACATTTTCTTGTTAGAGACAAAGCTAATTTTTATACCTCTCCTTAGCCTCTGAATTTTCAGCAAATGGTGTGAAACGATGTAGTGTCACACCTAGCCATGAACAGGATATTCCAGGGTAGAGTTTTAATACATTATATAGTTAATTTATTTGATGTTTTTTAACAATAACATGATTAATATAATCAGAAATAAAATAGATGTGATAGGGTGAACCAGATGGACTACAGTCTTTTCCCTCTATATTAATATATATATATCATATGTGTGTATAATGACACTTTCCTAGGTGTTGATGGATTATAGATGAATTAGACATAGAAATTTTCACATGACAATCAAACTGGCAGTGAATAAGCACAATTTGACAAAATATACAAGATTTAGAATACTTTCTCTCAATTTCTACATACATATGCTTTATTTGCAGAAGATATTTGGTGCATATTGCATTTAAGAAGCACTCCATGCTCCCAGACGTTTGGTACAATAGAGTTGATTACAACATGGCTTGACAAATCCCAGGCGTCAGGTCGCCACGGCAACTAGAAATTTCACCCTGGCGCCTTGGATTTGTCAGCTTTTTAGCTAAGGTTGCCGCCAAGGGAGATTTGAAGGTGGCTGCTGCGGGGAATATTGGAGCCGCCTGCCCTGGGGAGCATGGAGGCCGAGGCAGCAAGGGGGTGGCACGTGAGGGAGCAGTAATCTTCTGGACGTTTAGTGATGCCAGGTGTCGGAATATGATGCTGTTATGGACAGATGAATTAAAATAAAATGGCTATTTACTAATGTCTATTTATTCTGTGTTCACTATGTTAAAACTGGCTGCTAGAGTAAATATTCCCTTCGCCCCCTACAATGTGTTCAGTTGCTGTTTACTATGTAAATTCTTCATCCTGATAAGCATCCCCCTTCAAATCAAGCAAACCTTGTGTAAACAAAATTCCTGTGTTAACAGCTCCCTTTACCAACTCCTCCCCCACTACCTTTGTGCCAGTTAAACAGCTATATGCCACGTATAGCTAAATGGAGGATCATTGGTTTAGAACTGATAGATACCACTCACTCCCCCTCCCATCGTGTATCCAAAAGTCTGTAATGATGACACTACATTCTGTAGGGAGGTTTAAACAAGAGCCCCCTTTCTCTGTTAACCAATTGGTGAATGTATACTGTATGTTTAAACTGTGACGTATTTTTGCTTTAAGAAGGAGCCCCCACTCCGGGGAATAAAGCATTCCTGGGTTTTTCACTGATCAGAAACTTTGTCTCCGGTGTGAATTACTTCTAGGGAAAGCGTGCACGCATTAATTAAATCAATTTGGAAGGTGTAGATAGACAAATAATCAAAGTTTTCTTTGATCCAAAACAATTTGGTGGAGAATGCGGGCATGAAAGGGATACGTTACTAAGGCAGCCGTCAGATCCCAAGACAGGAGAGCAAAGGATTCCCAGAGATTGGAAACGGAGCCTGATCACCTCTGCATATGGTAAATGAGTTACTTACCTATATTTTCCTTTCTTTGGATTTCTCTTGTTCTCCGTGCCTTCACATTCGGCTTCCGGTGTTTAACGTCTTCAGACAGGTAATATATATATGCCCGAATGTCCCCTTTTATATAGAACCTGTCACTTGTCTATCTACAGCCTGAGTCCTGAGTGTGAGTTTTATGTGTGAAAGTGTCTGTTTGAGAATCTGTTTTACTACTTGCTTAATACTGTTATATAATGCTGCCAAGTGTGGTTAAGCACTTGCAGGTTTAGCCAAGTTCGGGTTTGGTGGAAAACCCCTGGCTCTATATTTATTTTAGCTAAGCTTCGGTAAAGAAGTTATTGCGAGACTCGGTCAAGAGTTTAAAAAATAAATAAATAAATAAATAAATAAATAAATAAAATAATAAAAAAAAAAAAAATAATAATAAAAAAATAAAAAAATGTATTTTAACTAAAACTTCGGTAGAGAAGTTATTGAGGGACTCGGTCAAGAGTTTAAATAGCTAAGCTTCGGTAAAGGAGCGGTTTATGTGCTTGAGTGTTTCTGTGTGTGTGATTTGATTTATTGTAAGCCGGCATTTATTTTAAGAACTTTGTGATTTAATTACATCTGTATTTTGTGCTTTTGTCTGTGTATGTCTTGTTGGGTACCATATATGTTAATTGTAATCTATACAATTTGTATCGTTACTCTCCTATTCTATCTTTTGTCCTAAGGAGAGCTGTGCTTAGGCAATCACATGGTTAAAAAACTTTGTGCTTGCAAGTCTTCCTCCCTCCTCCCCCCTCCTTCTTTGTTGCTTTCTCTTGCTCTGACTGCTATGAGTATTGGCTACAGGGGGGTGGGGTGAATGGGTGAAATGCTTGTAAACTCAGTGAGGAATGTGAGGGAAACAAGGTATATTTGCTGGACGAATAACCTAGTTAGGAACTTTGTGTAATCTTGTATATGTTGTTAAGCAAGAGGTTATTGGCATGTTGGAATAAGGAAAGTTAGATTTTGTTGGAACAAATGAATTGTGGAATTTATAAATGATATTGCAGAGAAAAGTAAATTGCAGTTTGCATTTAATAGCAGCTATTCAGATGCTGTATTGTGGCAATCTTTATACACACAATGTGAAATTGCCAATAGTGAAATTGACAAGAAATTGTTTGTTAATAAGAAAAAAAAAAAAAAAAAGATCAGAAATGTTATGAAACTAGTCTGTACTTACAATGCATTGATTTGTAAACGAAATACAGGTAAAGAAAATTTAGAATCAGCAGAAAAAGAAATAGATTTGAATGGGTTAACAGAAGACAAATCAGATTTAAATGAACAGTGTAACAATGTAACAGAGAGAACATTGTCAGAAACAGTCTGTGAATTAGAGGATAGAGTTGAACTAAGAAATGATCTTATTTGCCAGCTTAGAAATGAAGTTAAACTAGTGTGTGTTAATACAAGAAAAATAAAGGCACAGAATCTAATCCCAGAACCAATAGATACTGAAAATGTATCCTCACAGAGTGATTTGCAGAAATATAAATTTCAAGACAGAGCTGCAAAACTTAATTTGAAGATCCATGAACAATTAATGAAAATTGTGAAATGTATTCCAGTTTATGACACGTCAGTGGATGCATTCACTAATGCTGAAATGTTTGAGTCTAATTTAGACAAATACAGCCTAAATGACGAACAAAGGAATAGACTATTTCAAATATGGCTGCCGACTCAAATGGCATGTAGGCTGACCGCGATTGTAAAATTTGAGGACAATGGTGAAATAATATATGGAAATAAGCGAGACAGATTAACACAATTAATAAAATTAACAACAGGGAATGATTTTGCAGACACTGAAATGTTGGAAAAACTAAAACCACACAAGGGGGAGGATATATTTAGTTTTCTTGTAAAATTTGAAAATGCATATAGACTTGTTGCTGATTTTTCTGAAGATCAGTTAATTAATGAATTTGTGAAAAAATTTCAAGATCTAGATCCAACTGCAATTGTGGTAGCTAGAGAAAAAAGCACTTTGACAGAAGTAGCTTTGTTCTTGGATAACTTAAGGAGGGAAACCAAGAATGAAGGGGTTAAAACGACTTGTGGCTTTAGGCAGAGAAAGAAGTGCAGATGTTACAGCCCCGTAGTCCTCCTTCTTCTTCTTCTTCTTCTTCTTCTAGGACAGAGTGTAGAGTGATACAGACAGCTGAGCCCCTCCCAATTTATTCAACTAAATATAGGGCAGTTGATAATATAGGGCAGAATATAACTCCTAAAGTTATTTGTTTTTGGTGCAATAAACAACATTATTTAAGATCTTGCAGATATTTTATCCGAGATATCAAATCAAAAGCAAATGAGAAATTAAATTTGTTGATTGAAAATTTTGACAGAGAAAATACATGTGGAGATAAATCAATTAAAGCCTTTCCTTGTAAACTTATAATCAGACAAATAAAAGCAATTTTAGCTAAATCGAAATTAGGAGACAGACAAACAATGCAGCGTAACACAGAAAGTTATAAGAATCAGATAACTTCAAGAGATATGATCAGTTTAGGGAATGAGCATGGATATGTCTGCCAACAGAGGTACACAGGCTGATTCCAGAATTAAGAACAGCCAAGAATAGAGTTCTATGTTAGTTTGTTTTAATGAAATGTTAGTCTGAACTGTTTTTTCATTGTTTTATATGTATTTTAAGAAAGTATTAGGTTAATTAATTAAAATAAAAATGTACATCAAGTTTGCAAATATGGCAGAATGAAATACACTAATGTAGCAGTGAGGAACATGCAATGTTATGTTGGGTGTATGCAATTATATAGTAACTCCAATCATTTTACAGAAGAAAAAACAATAGATTTATTCTTTGTTGCTTCTGAGGTTGATTTAAAATCTTTGATTTAATTAATGAGAATGAGATTTTAATATCATGACTGATAATGGATTACTGTATATTGCAACGCCTGGACATACACATGGTTTGGATATACTGAAGACAAAAGGAATAATATATGGGAATGGATAAGGCTGATTTCCCCCTATCCACAGCTACGCCTACTCCTAAAGTAACATCGCGTACATCCTTACTATGCCCTTTTACTGTAGAATTTCCCGAATCCTAATGACCAATTCCACTACATGGTGTGACTTGTTTAAGCCTAAGATAAATTGGCTGATCAGGCTACCTGTATTAACAATGTCATCAACGATGAGTTAGCATCTGTGGAGAAGCATCACTTCAGGTTGTCCCAAATTTTCTTTTAACTTAAGTTTTAGTACATAGTAAGGCCCATGCCCAATAACTATATGCAGCCTTGTATAGCAGGCCACATGACATCTATTTGTACCAAGCAAGGCCTGCCTGACTCCTCATTCCTGTCTAACATTGTTGTCTCCTGCATAAGTGTAGATGGCTCTCCTTGGAGTAGCCTGTTAACTAAGCCTTGCTTTGTGGTTACCTTCACCTGTCCAATTAATCTGCTAGGTGCAGATGTCCTTCCCCCACTTGCAGGCCCCTATCACCTTATTATTCATTTTGTTCCACACAGTGAAACCTGACCAAGAGGCAAGGGTCCTAGCTAGTTCCCCCAATACCTTTACCTGAATTATACAGGCCCCAAAGCCTGTCCAAGCTCTTACTATTCCCTAACAGGTTAAGGCTCTGGTGTCGAATGGTGCCCTGGTTACCTGAGACTTTCCATGCAATATCCCACCTCTCCTTGTGATGGATGAATTCTGTGCAGGATTATGTCACCCTGCAGGGATGATACTCTATTTACCTGGCCACTCTTCTGCCACTTCCCAAGGGGGGAAATGATAAGACACTGACTATTATTTTTTTTTTTATTAGCATTTTTCTTATGATCTGTTCCGGATTTGCTGTCACTACAGTGGACCAGGTATCTCACCTCAACAATGTCTGCACAAGAAGTTGAGCTATAGGCTCCCATCACAGCATGCAAGATCTCTGAAGGAAGACTGATCTCGGAGAAAGCATGTGGCAACTCTCTGGCTGACTAAGTTGTTCAATAAGTTGTAAGTGCACTAAGGAAAGTGGACAGAAAAGTGTCTACTGAAGAAACTCCCATATTCACCATGTAAGATCCTACCCACAGACCTCAAGCTACTGACCCTGGAAAGAAAGAAAAACCAAACAAACCACAAGCTGGAAACAGAAAGGGGCAACTCTTAAAGACAGGCTGTACTTCAACAATCTCAAGTTCTACTTGCCCAAGAACATATACTCAGCAGTGGTCCAGTGGGCCTACGGAGCATCTGTCCAGAACCCTCATGAACTCTTTTGATCAATAAATACTCTGAAGTATCAGGAATTGCCTCTCTGACCAACAGTTACTGTAAATCTTGTGCCATTTGTGCCAAGGGCAACTCAGGAAGAATGGAGCCAAAGCATCTAGCCAAACCTCATTATCTCTTCCAGAGGAGTCAAGTCGACTACATCCAGAATGCCAAAGAATGGCTGATTCAACTATGCACTAATTATAGCAGACATGTTTTCAGGATGGCCAGAGGCCTATCCAGCCACCAAAGTGATAACCAAGACCACATGCTGAGTAGTGCACTGTGAAAGTTACAGAGATCACCCCGTGGATTCATCATTCCAGAATCAAGCCTGCCTCTGCATTATGTGAAGTAGCATTTGTTGATCTTGACAATCCTTTTTGAAACTCCATTCTTAGAGAACAAAGATACTTGTTGAAAATAAATAAATAAATAAATATCAACAAGTGGGTGTTTTGATGGCCATAATAATGCCTGACCACCTGCCATCGATGGAAAGCCGAATACCCCAAAAGGGGACCTCGTGAAACTAAAGAGAAACAAACATACTCCTTACCCTGCAGCCCTCACGTCTGAGGTGCCATACGCACAGTCAAAGCTTCTTCAAGATCATCTGCTTATCTTGAGTTTGTGGTGATATTAATATTGAATGTTTAAATGATCTGAATCTGCCAGTACTAGGGTAGCATGAGACAAGATTTCTAAGAATAAGTAAATGTGCCCTAGCCTAGGTTATTATGTCCATACACATAACACATGACAATCCCCAAGGTACTCTTGACACACCTCATTCATGCTTCAGGACAAAAAGGAGTACCCCTATAAAGGGTGGTTTTACCCACACATATATATATATATATGTATATTAATGCCATAGGGGTGTCAAGGGGGGTACCAAATGATTTTAAGGTAAGAAACTAAGTTTGAATCTATTCTCCCAAGCATTACGGCTAATAAAATCTGAATTGGAAGGGAAGAGGTTTATACAATAAACAGGAGACCTTTTTCTTACAGGACATGTATGACTCAGCTGAATGGGTAGGTGCCACGCACATGACTGTTAATCCCCTCAAACCACACATTAGGACTTTAAAAGACATGGTAGTCATCCCATATTTGAGGATAAGAGGGCTGTAGAGACAGGTTTCTCTGACACTAACTTGTGACTTGAATGGATGAAATACAATGCTACTAAACATAACAAGTCTAACTGCTATGTCTGCAGAGGAGCGAGGCCTCACCCAGGTACAGTATCCCTGAACCTTCCTCCGGATATGAAGTATGCGTTTTAAGTCTCTACACTGTATTTAAACCTAAGCGGTCAGCATGCGAGTCATGGAAACTTAATACCCAATCATTACTAAAAATATTAACCCAGACGAAGGCATTACTATATAGCCCGGGAACTATACTTGTTATGGGATATATGGTGGGATAGGGCGGTTACAAACTATCTCTCAGATGACCTTCCAGAATAGAATAAGCTTGGAAATGATTTTAGCAGAAAAAGGGAGAGTATGTAAAATACTCCCAGACACCATGACATGCTGTACCTATATTCCAGATAATACAGGCCCTAATGGTAAGGTAACGTTGGCAATAGAAAAGTTAAAGAGTTTGTCCAATGAACTGAAACGAAATTCTGGGGCCACAGATCCATGGGAAAGATGGTTTGGATGGATGTCTGAATGGCAAGGTGCTCTGGACCAAATAGGTGTTGCCATTTTAATAACGATAATCATCCTCGCTCTTCTTGTTTGTTGTGTGTTACCCTGTCTTAAGAAATGCCTACAAAAGACAGTTGATCAGGCAATCGACCAGACCACCCCGACCTTCCTTCACCAAGAGATTGACGATATCGACCGTGATACACCACATACACCCTTACAGTCCCACCGCACTAAATCAACAGCTACTTCCTCTTAAGGACATTTAGGGATAGCGTCTGTCTCTACGGGCAGAAGTCTGCCGCGGGAGAAGTAGTGGACAAGCTGCTATGGGGTTACCCGCGCAGTGAAGTGTTCGAGGCCTGTTCAGACAGATGTGCAAGATAGCCTTTTGTTATTTTTCTATAGGGACAGTATTAGAATGAGAGATAGTAGTTTTAGTAAAAATTGCCATTTTAAGGGGGGACTGTTATGGACAGATGAATTAAAATAAAATGGCTATTTACTAATGTCTATTTATTCTGTGTTCACTATGTTAAAACTGGCTGCTAGAGTAAATATTCCCTTCGCCCCCTACAATGTGTTCAGTTGCTGTTTACTATGTAAATTCTTCATCCTGATAAGCATCCCCCTTCAAATCAAGCAAACCTTGTGTAAACAAAATTCCTGTGTTAACAGCTCCCTTTACCAACTCCTCCCCCACTACCTTTGTGCCAGTTAAACAGCTATATGCCACGTATAGCTAAATGGAGGATCATTGGTTTAGAACTGATAGATACCACTCACTCCCCCTCCCATCGTGTATCCAAAAGTCTGTAATGATGACACTACATTCTGTAGGGAGGTTTAAACAAGAGCCCCCTTTCTCTGTTAACCAATTGGTGAATGTATACTGTATGTTTAAACTGTGACGTATTTTTGCTTTAAGAAGGAGCCCCCACTCCGGGGAATAAAGCATTCCTGGGTTTTTCACTGATCAGAAACTTTGTCTCCGGTGTGAATTACTTCTAGGGAAAGCGTGCACGCATTAATTAAACAATTTGGAAGGTGTAGATAGACAAATAATCAAAGTTTTCTTTGATCCAAAACAATGCCACTCGGCCCCGGCATCACTACAGTGAGGGCGCAGAGAGAAACTGCAGGAAGATTAGACAGCAGCCCCACTGGACCACAGGGAAAGGTCCACTCAGCTCTCTGAAAGGTAGGGAGGATGAGTGGATTTCAATTAAAACAAAAATGTCAGTTTAAGAGTGTGTGTGCCTGTCAGAGTGTGTATGTGAACCTGTCAGAGTGTGTGTATGTGAGCCTGTCAGACTGTGTGTGTGTGAGCCTGTGAGAGTGTGTGTTTAGGTACCTGCCCCCTCCGATCATATGAGGAAGGTGTTTTTACTCATCTTTTTTTCCATGCCGTGCTGCCTCCATTGCGGAGATTATCAATCTTTATGATCTCAGCTAAGCCATGCTTTCCCATAGTGAAGCATTGGGAGGATATTATACATGCGCAGCAAATCATGCACATGCGCAGCAAATGTGCCAATCCGCATCTTCTCATAGAGCTGCATTGAATTAATCTCTACGAGGAAAACTCATACAGAGCTTGGAGACACTGAACGTGGGTGCTGCACACTGTGTAGCAGTGACCCAGGACACTCTAGTGATCTGAGCGACTGTCACTAGAGGTGTTACTAAGCAGCAATGTAAACACAGATTTTTCACTGAAAAGGCAGTGTTTGCACTAAAAAGTCTGCAGGGACAGGCTATAGACACCAGAACCACTACATCATGCTGTAGTGGTTATGGTAACTTTAGTGCCCCTTTAAGAATTGCATTTTCTTGTTGAAAATTAAACTTTGTTAGTTTGAAAAAAAAAAAAACTAGCTCCTAACTTGTTTAGCTGGCTCCTAGATGCCAACCAAATTTGTGCAACTAGCTATGTTGGGTGGTTTTTTTTTCTCACTCAGTTTTAGGCATTTTGTTCCTTTCTTTTAAATGCCAATTAGCTAACCCACTATGATCCTACTAATTCAAGTGTTCCAAGTTGGATGAAATTAACATTGACACTGCACAAGCACTTTATCAATGTGGCCGAGGAGAAGATTCCTTGATGCCAGGGAAACAAACACTACAAGGTGTAGTGGTTATTTTACTTGGAGTGCTCTTTTACTTCCAATTAAACCTGGCCACTTTCTTTCTTCTTTACCTTGCACCGTGAGCAAGCTGATAAAAAATATATGGACTATTCTTTAAAGGGACACTATAGTCACCCAGACCACTTCAGATGAATTAAGTGGTCTGGGTGCCAGGTCCCCCAGGTTTTAACCCTTCAGATGTAAACATAGCAGTTTCAGAGAAACTGCTATGTTTACATTGCAGGGTTAATCCAACCTCTAGTGGCTGTCTTCCTGACTGCCGCTAGAGCCGCTTCCCTGACGCTGGATGCGAAATTCGCATCCAACGTGCAGAACGTCCATAGGAAAGCATTGAGGAGCTGACGTCGGCGGGGGAGGAGAGGTCACCAGTGCTAAGGGAGCCCGGCGCTGGATTAAGGTAAGTAGCTGAAGGGGTTAAAGGTCCATTACAACTCATTACTCAACGTCGACACGAAACTTTTAACTAAAGTACTGGCCACTAGGTTACAACGAGTGCTGCCAAGCATTATTCATGCAGATCAGACAGGGTTCATCCCAGGAAGGGAGGCGAGGGACAGCACCCTACGTCTGTTCTCAATCCAAGCCCGAGCACGGAAATCAGGGGACCACCTTCTCATTCTCTCCACGGACGCTGAGAAGGCCTTTGACCGGGTCAACTGGTCATATATGATGGCCACGCTGACCGCTATGGGATTGGGGCAGAAAATGATGTCGTGGATATCAGCTGTCTATGACAAGCCCCAAGCAGCGGTTCGGGTCAATGGTGCCCTAACCGACAGATTTGAAATAAATAATGGGACGAGACAGGGATGCCCCCTGTCCCCTCTCCTATTCGCAATGACCTTGGAGCCCCTTTTGCAGGCGGTAAGACAAAACCCTGACATCCGCGGCTACACGTGGAGAGACTCTGAACATAAGGTAGCTGCTTATGCTGATGACCTCCTATTCTTCATCACTAACCCCCGCATTACAATACCCTGCCTACTCGCCACCATGAAACAATATGGTACGTTGTCAGGATTCAAACTCAACTTATCAAAATGTGAGGCGTTGAATGTGACCTTCCCCTCGAACCAATATACTGACCTGAAAAATAGCTTTCCATTCCAATGGCGTGATGAACGGATGAAATACTTGGGAGTGTGGATCGCCAACAATCCCCAGCATATATACCAACACAACTTTGCCCACTTGCTACAGACAATAACATCAGATCTGGAGAAATGGGCATACCCACACGTCACGTGGCATGGGCGCATAGCGGTTCTCAAAATGAACGTGTTACCAAGAAGTCTTTACCTGTTCCAAACCATCCCATTGGCACTACCTAGATCCTTCTTCTCGACCCTGAAGACAGCAATAATACGTTACGTGTGGCGGGGAGAGAGGTCTCGATTGCGATACGAAACGTTATGCCTACCCAGACTCAAGGGAGGATTGGCACTCCCCGATTTCCGGAAATATCACCAAGCCGCCACGATGCAACGCATCCTGGAATGGCATGCCGCTGATAATCCAAAGCAGTGGGTGACTCTTGACAGAGGCGACTCAGGGGCCAAGCTCAAAGCCGAAGTGTGGCAGGAGACACCGGGATACAGAGGGAGAGATGAGATCGGAAACCCAGTGACCCAAACTCTGAAAATTTGGGAACGGATCCGGGGGCTGTCATTCGTCTCCCCGAGGCCTACCCCACTGACCCCGATCACGCACAATCCCAAAATTGGAGGGGGCCTCCCGGCCGGTGCATGGACATTCATAGAGGAGGGTGAATATATCCCGATCCGGAAGGTACTGGGAGAGGGACGGGTGAGATCCCTGGATTCCCTACTGGGAGACAGAGCACGGACACCCATGACAACGATGAGATATCTGCAACTAGTACATTTTTATGACTCAGTCCCACATAAGGAACTCCTGCACAGAGAGCTAACCTGGTTCGAGTCACTCTGTCATAGAGGATCTCGACTGGGTAACGCAGTATCCACACTGTATCAACACCTTCTGGTGGGAGGCAACAGGGACAACAACACCTTCAAGCTACGATGGGAAACTCAGTGCCACAAACAGCTTTCAACAACACAATGGGACACAGCCCTCCTCTGGCAGCATAAAAGTTCCTCCAGCTCGTACTACCAAGAAGTCAATTATAAACTGATCTCCATGTGGTACAGGACGCCGGTGGCTCTACATCGGATATTCCCGACAGTTTCTCCTCTGTGCTGGAGATGCCAAGAGGAAAGAGGCACTATCACACATCTGTGGTGGGATTGCCGAGCCATCACACCGTACTGGGCCCAAATTCACACTGAAACTAAATCAATACTTGGTGAAGATATGGAATGGTCGATGGAACTAGCCCTGCTACACATGACCTCAAGCTCCATCTCCAGATACAAAAAGTCTATTCTACGCCACTTGCTGAACGCGGCAAAATCCCTTATACCCGCATACTGGAAAAAAACCGAGTCCCCGACGCACACGGAATGGCTCCACAGGGTAGGGGACATACAATCGGCAGAGGCACTCCAAGCTTCCCTCACGGGGCGCTCAACCAGGCACGCGGAGATCTGGGGACCATGGTTCGTGTACCAAGCGAACAGACAGTAAGCGAACAAACAGTAGACGGATTACTCCGGCGCCTCCGGGGGGCGGTGGAGGGGGAAGAAGAGCCACGACCGTTCGCGGCCGGATCTCGTTCCGCTGCTCACCCCCAGGCGAGACGCACCCCAAATACACACAGCTCATGTAAAGACATCTACCACCTGATAACGGCATACTCAATACACCCTGCACACCTTCACACACACGATAGCCTGAACGTCAAGGCAGGCAATCATAATGAACGCCATCACTACACGCACACTGACACATCACTCAAAGCCACAGACATCGCACGCAAACACCTCAAACAGCGACTGGCGCCTAGTGGACATGCCCCACTGCAAGACGGACGGCTCTAACAAAGGACAGGGACAATGCAAACATCGCCCAAACACATTACGCAACGACTAACGGGCACAACATAAGGGATCGTGGCGCGACTCCCCACCCACACAGAGGGAACACTCCTTCAACACTAGATTACCCATGAAAGGCAGGGAATACACACAGACTACGAGAAACGAACTTGGAAGACACCGGCGCTTTCAACCCCCAACAACAAGCAAAATAGCACATCATTGACACTTATGATACTCGCTCACAGCAGATGCCGAAGCGGGAGGGAGGTAACCCCCTCATCCCTACCCCCCCTCCCCCCTCTCCCCTCCTACCCTACCCACCCCCTTATACCCGACCCCCTAGAACAACACATTACCCATCACTACCAATAAGGCAGCGATAGACACTCATGGTAACGCTGACTACCACAGACTGAGACATTACACTGGGAGGTTCCGAGGGTAACTTATAACAATTACGAGAGGGGACAAATACCAATTACCAAAGCTGACCTATAGCTCATACCCGCCCCGTACACGTGAAGGAAGGGTACGGAAAGGTGTTCCCTAGATACTTAAGCATACCTCGACACACAACATACAGTCTGTTTATGTACTTAAACTACCTTATTCACTGTAACTAAAAACGTACGGTTTAAGAATTGTACCCAAATGGCTCCTGTCACATGTTATATTTCATTATCATTATTTGCATAGAGGCCTGCGTGCCTCACTTTCCCCTTGTCTTATTTCAATAAAACAGATTTACAAAAAAAAAAAGGTCCATTACAATTTTAATGGTTAGCAATTCCCCAGTGTCTTAACATTTAAAATGTTGGTAACTATTTTCCTTGTTCTAGAACATATCTTTTCCAGTGGGGCACTCCCCCTTTCTCTGTAAAAGATGTTGTATGTTGTTGTCTCTAGCACACATCAGCATCAGAGGAATAATAACAACAAGGACAGCCCATGCAGAATTGCATGTAGGAAGGTCCCCTTGCTCTTTCCCGCAAAGCACATATCCATGGAATGGACAGGTGGGTAAGGAACCAAACTTTATGCTGATTTTAAATAAAATATAATCATCTCCAGTTTGCGCTAGTATAATTCATACATGTGTTTTTTTTTCTGTCTATGTACCATGGCAAGTACATTTTTTAAGTCTTGAGGAGATCACACAGTCTACATCCAGTCTCATGCACTTTTTAATTTTTTTTTATACATTCATGCAGTTTTTCATATTAAATTGTATTTATATTTCTTTATGTCTATGTGTTTGTTCTTTATTATCTATTCAGGTCTGAAATTGTAATAAAAAGTAATAAATAAAAATAATAATAAAAACAATATACAGCACAAATTTTGCAAACAATGGTATACATAAATAGGGTAAAAAAAGAACACATGGTTACAAAACCAATGCAAGCATTATATGTAAAAAGCGGTTTTAAAATAGAAGTCAGCACTGCAAATACACACCCATATATATATTCATTTCAACTAAGCTCAGAAAGTCTATTAGCCAAAGTAAAAAAGAAAAATAATAATAATAATAAAAAAAATTAAAAAAAAATAAAAAACTATATATAACGCCTCTCATACTTACTCACACCTGCCAAACGGGTTCAAGTTTTCAGTGACAGCACACTCTAAAGATACAGTATGCTGCATACAGAAGCAAGATTGAAGATACAATGTAGCAGATCTACTTTGTGATATAATGATTATCTGTCTCACACTTTTGCTTTGTGGACTATAAAATCAGACTGTGTTCAAGTCTCCCTGTGATCTTCAAACAAGGGCAGACAAATTTAAACTAGAAAATGGCTGCATGCCAAAAACAGGCTTGATGTCGCACACGCTCCTCCAACTACACAACACAGAGAAATCCATCTCTGATCTCACTGACCTTTACAACACAGGGGTGTTAAAATGGATAATTCAGTCATACTAGAATACTTGCTGCTTTTTACAGTCTTGACAAACAGGCTATAAGAATTCATTTCAGGGAGAGTAAATTCAAAATCATGCACAACATACAATATTGCAGACATTAAAAAAATAATCAAAATAGTATCTCTATAATTCAATAACGTACTTATTAACAACACGTTACAAAGTGATGTCTGTCACAAATTATATTCACTAGGCATTTCATTACTATACATACAGGTGTTATGTCTTATGTCTCCAAGTTTCCTGTTACTCTTACAGTAAAAGACAAAAAAAAATTGCTGACAGAAAAGAGGTGGTTACAAATGGATAGCGATAAGTAGATAACAAAATTAAGTATAATGAAAGTTATAAAATAAAAAATAAAATAAAAAAAACAGGTTGCGCCAAAAGGTGTGAACAGATAGAATAATATAAAAAAGTCCAAATAGTCACAGTCCAAATATTGCAATCCCAGCTGTTTCTGGATTTTTGGTGAATGTTGGTTCTTGGTTAAAGGATCATTATAGTGTCAGGAAAACAAACTTGTTTTCCTGACACTATATAACCCCTAGGTCCCTCCCACCCTCAGGGTCCCCCCTCCCGCTAGTTAAAACCCCTTCAGCCACTTACCGTTATCAATGCTTTACTATGGACTTTCTGCACGCTGAATGCGATTTTTGCATCCAGCGTCGCAGAAGCGCCTCTAGCGGTTGTCAGGAAGACAGCCACTAAAGGCTGGATTAACCCTGCAATGTAAACGTTTGAGCTGAAGTGGTCGGGGTGACTAAGGTCCCTTTAAGGTGCTTGTAAATATATGTAGGGAGACACAAAATGCAATTAAAAATAGCTATTTTTAATTGCCATTACCCCTATATATCCCATTGTGCCAGATCAAGTCTTTATTGGTGAAATGCATTGTGTAAGATTGTAACATTTATGTTTTACTTCTTTTACACATTAAAGTATTTTTAGTTTTAATCCACTTTGTTGTGATAGATCAGCAACCTATGGCACGTGTGCCATGCATGGCACTTGAGGTGACTTTGCACAGCACTCAACCTGCTAGAGACAAACAGGATGTGGCCTAGCAGGAGTCCTAGTGGGACTTCAGATATCTGCTAATGCAATCTGAGCAGTGATTGCAGGTGGCGAGGGACAATGCTCAATGTACGTATTACAGCACTTCAAGTAATTATCGCAGATCACTTCCTCCCAGCACTTGAGAATGGCAATCTGCACTGGAGTAAAGCAGCCCACTGCAGCTATCGCAGCTCCTGCACTTGACCTGACCAAGTCGGTCCCCACTGGACCCCAGAGAAGCCACCTACACTGCTAGATATTCACAGAGCTGCAGAATAAGCATCCCTCTCGTACACATAATAAAATAACCCACACACACAGTCCCCACAAACACATCACTGACAATCCACATACACACACACAACCAACCTCTCACATGCAATACCACACACAGCCCTACACATTCATAAACCACCAAACACACTATGTGACATATTATCCACACGCGCACACAATTTCACAAGCCGCCCCCATACACAGCCAATATTCATAGGTATAATCTGCAATACCACAAATTACTCATGAACGCATACATTATAACAGCCCACATACACACAAATACAATGTTACAAAGTAACTGCAACACCCATAAATAACAAAAGTGCAATATGGCACATAGAATGTGACGGCAGATAAGAACCATTCGGCCCATCTAGTCTGCCCAATTTTCTAAAAACTTTCATTAGTCCCTAGCCTTATCTTATAGTTAGGATAGCCTTATGCCTATCCCATGCATGCTTAAACTCCTTTACTGTGTTAACCTCTACCACTTCAGCTGGAAGGCTATTCCATGCATCCACTACCCTCTCAGTAAAGTAATACTTCCTGATATTATTTTTAAACCTTTGTCCCTCTAATTTAAGACTATGTCCTCTTGTTGTGGTAGTTTTTCTTCTTTTAAATATAGTCTCCTCCTTTACTGTGTTGATTCCCTTTATATATTTAAATGTTTCTATCATATCCCCCCTGTCTCGTCTTTCCTCCAAGCTATACATGTTAAGATCCTTTAACCTTTCCTGGTAAGTTTTATCCCGCAATCCATGAACCAGTTTAGTAGCCCTTCTCTGAACCCTCTCTAAGGTATCAATATCCTTCTGAAGATACGGTCTCCAGTACTGTGTACAATACTCCAAGTGAGGTCTCACCAGTGTTCTGTACAATGGCATGAACACTTCCCTCTTTCTACTGCTAATACCTCTCCCTATACAACCAAGCATTCTGCTAGCATTTCCTGCTGCTCTATTACATTGTCTGCCTACCTTTAAGTCATCAGAAATAATCACCCCTAAATCCCTTTCCTCATATGTTGAGGTTAGGACTCTATCAAATATTCTGTACTCTGCCCTTGGGTTTTTACGTCCAAGATGCATTATCTTGCACTTATCCACATTAAATGTCAGTTGCCACAATTCTGACCATTTTTCTAGTTTACCTAAATCATTTGCCATTTGGCTTATCCCTCCTGGAACATCAACCCTGTTACATATCTTAGTATCATCAGCAAAAAGACATACCTTACCATCAAGACCTTCTGCAATATCACTAATAAAAATATTAAAGAGAATGGGTCCAAGTACAGATCCCTGAGGTACCCCACTGGTGACAAGTCCAAGCTTCGAATATATTCCATTAACTACAACCCTCTGTTGCCTGTTACTCAGCCACTGCCTTACCCATTCAACAATATTTGAATCCAAACTTAAAGATTGCAGTTTATTGATTTATTGTATTTACACCATACACACCTCAATTTAAAAAATAAATAAAAAAAATAGGACCAGCACACCAAGGGACTTCAAGATCCTGTTTTGGCATTGTACTACTAAAAGGTTGCTTATCCATTTATTACACGTTGTATGCAATTTTACTATTTTATTTGTTCCTGGCACGCTTAACTTCAGATCTGGACAACTATTTACCATCATATCCCTGGTGGGGATTACACCACCCATGCAGAGATATTCTTCTCCTTTTATATACTTCCTGCACATCGAGATATTCGCCTCAAAAGTTATATCCATGAGTGGGGATTGTACCACTGCAAGCAAATTTACTTAGAGCTAGTTTAAGCTCCATAACATGTGAGTGCTAGCTCATATACTACTGTTGTGAGTCCTATTTCTCTGCCAAAACTGTATGCACTATTATTTGTCATTATGTGTCTCCCTACATATATTTACAAGTACCTTAAAGGACCACTCTGGGCACCCAGACCACTTCAGCTTAATGAAGTGGTCTGGGTGCCAGGTCCAGCTAGGGTTAACCCATTTTTTCATAAACATAGCATTTTCAGAGAAACTGCTATGTTTGTGAATGGGTTAAGCCTTCCCCTATTTCCTCTAGTGGCTGTCTCATTGACTTGATTTTCACAGTGAGAGCACGCCAGCGTCCATAGGAAAGCATTTTGAATGCTTTCCTATGTGACCGGCTGAATGTGCGTACAGCTCTTGCCGCGCGTGCGCATTCAGCCGACGGGGAGGAGAGAAGGAGGATCGGAAAGGAGAGCTCTCCGCCCAGCGCTGAAAAAAGGTAAGTTTTAACTCCTTTCCAGAGCCGGGCGGGAGGGGGTCCCTGAGGGTGGGGGCACCCTCAGGGCACTATAGTGCCAGGAAAACGAGTATGTTTTCCTGGCAATAGTGGTCCTTTAACCAAGAACAAACATTGCCCAAGAACCCAGAAACAGCTGGGATTGTGATATTTGGACTGTGAATATTTGGACTTTTTTATATTATTATATTATTCTATCTATTCACACCTTTTGGGGCAACCTGTTTCTTTTAGTATTTTATGCTGTCTATTTTTAGGGTATGAGGGTATCCCCAGTGTTTGCTGCCTAAGTCTAGTCAGTTGTTTCCTTAGCGCTTGTCCATTTTTGTGTTTTCCTTATACTAAAAGTTATGTATTTTGAAAATAATATTGTAACAAAATCTTAAACCGTTCTAAAAAGAATTTCACTTATGTATTGCCCCACACACAAATACATAAAGACGGTTACGAATAAAACGTGTTTTGGTCTAAATTACGAAATGTGGGGCAATTACTATAAGAACTAGTGAAACCAGCAGGCACATTACACTACTGACTCCACCCCTTTTCCATGTTAACACCAGAACGGACACTTTTTGTATATAAACCACGGTCTATGAAATTATTTATAGTACTACATATATTAAAGGTCATGTAAGGCGTAATGTGTAAAGTTACAGTTTGTTTTGATGGGTGGATTTGTTGTTTTCTTTTATACTGCAGCTTTTTGTAGTGGTTTTGGTGGAAAGAGTTTTATGTTCTATTCTCACTGTTTTCTACACAAAAAGTTCACTAGAAGCTGGTGAATGAAGTAGTAACTTTATCAAGAGCTGAAATATTCAGCTGGTGATGTTTTAAAGTGTACCTGTGGCTTTTGGGGGTAGATACATAGAATGTGGCGGCAGATAAGAACCATTCGGCCCATCTAGTCTGTCCAATATTTCAAAATACTTTAATTAGTCCCTGGCCTTATCCTCAGTCTAGGATAGCCTTATGCCTATCCCACGCATGCCTAAACTCCTTTACTGTGTTAACCTCTACCACTTCAGCTGAAAGGCTATTCCATGCATCCACTACCCTCTCACTAAAGTAATGCTTCCTGATATTATTTTTAAACCTTTGCCCCTCTAACTTAAGACTATGTCCTCTTGTTGTGGTAGTTTTTCTTATTTTAAATATAGTCTCCTCCTTTACTGTGTTGATTCCCTTTATGTATTTAAATGTTTCTATCATATCCCCAAGTCTCGTCTTTCCTCCAAGCTATACATTATTATTATGTTATTTATATAGCGCCATCAAATTCTGCAGCGCTTTACAATGGGTGGACGAACAGACATGTATTTGTAACCAGACAAGTTGGACACACAGGAACAGAGGGGTTGATGGCCCTGCTCAATGAGCTTACATGCTAGAGGGCGTAGGGTAAAATGACACAAAAAGGTAAGGATAGTATTAGACTAGTGACAGTTGCAGAAGAGGAATCAGGCGGGAGCTATTAACAGTTTAATTGATATGCTTTTATGAATAAGTGGGTTTTTAACGATTTTTTGAAGGAGTGGAGACTGGGTGAGCATCTAACAGAGGTGGGAAGTGAGTTCCACTTGTGTATAAGGGAGTATAGATAGGTGGGAGCAGCATTATGTAGCGATTTGAAAGCAAGAACCAGAATTTTAAATTGAGCTCTATATTTTATAGGAAGCCAATGTAGGGACTGACAGAAGGGTGAGGCATACATGTTAAGTTCCTCTAGCCTTTCCTGGTAAGTTTTATTCTGCAAAGGTGAACGAGTTTAGTAGCCCTTCTCTGAACTCTCTCCAAAGTATCAATATCCTTCGGGCGATACGGTCTCCAGTACTGCGTACTGTCAGGGTATTTATATCGGCAGACATCTTGTGCTATGATAGAAATTAAAAGTGTATATTTTGAGTCACTCTGAACAGACCAGACTCCATTTTGTTATTCCCAAGTTAACAAAAGGCACAAGATTTCTATCTGTAAAACTAACCACTTTTCCAGAGCTAAAGGAATGCATGGTATATACAAACCAAGTGATAAGGAGAACGGGGGTTGGACAGACTGTCTAAATGCTAATGGAATAGATCAATTCTAAACCCAGACATTTGTGACAGAGGAGATTAAATAATAAAATTTTACTTTCTATATGTATAAGGTCCCATTGTAAGTTACGGGTCAAAACTCAGAATTTGCCAGACACATAGTCTGGACAAAACTTAAAGAAACTGTTTGATCTGACAGCAAATCTAAGTTATAGCAAACGTAAAGATAACGCAAAATGATGTCAAAATAGCCACCAAGAAAAGTTAACTCTTTCCTGGATAGGTATGTTTAATGGGACAAGACTGCCCTCTATAGACCAAATAACTAAATTGCGATCTGGAAGATAACCACACCCCCAGTATTGCTATTGGTTTAGCAACTAGTGAATTTTCCCTTTAAAAGTTAGGACAAAGGGAAGACAGGGGGTATGCGAAGGAGAAAGAAGAAGGTAGACGATGAATGCAAGGGTATGCAAAGAAAGCAAAGAAGTGAGCAGTGGGGAGCAATGACACTCTAGGACACTCAGAAATTCCTACACACCTCCATGCAGAGAGACATCCAAACAAGTTCCTGAGACTACCAATCGGATAAAATATCTACTCAACTGGTAATTATACTGGTTTCATTTAATGAATTAAAATTTACTAATAGCATGATATATGACTGGATAAATCACAGTCAGATTTCCATATTAAGAAATCTTAGTTAACTAAAGAATATATAGTTATAAACATTCCATTCTGCAGGTGGAATTAAGAATAATTATATATTAATGTGATATATCACATGTTAGCATACCGCTGTTTTTATCCAGGTGTATTGATTTGCTCTAAATTAAGATAAGATATCTTTTAGACAAATTAAATTCTGCTTTTATAAAATATGGTAGATTCTCTTATTGGATGGTTCCAGGAAATGACTAATGAACTGGTTTAAATGTTATTTTATTTAAAATTACATAAGAATAGATCTTAATTACCTAGGAGATCTAGCCAGCATTGAAAGGGTTATTTTAACTGTCAGCTAAACTTTACGACCTTACGCTGCACTCTGAGGAATTCTGTTCTCTGCGTGAAACTTTTACTTTCTCCCTGTGAAAGATAGTCATAAATCGTATAAGTCTTGACAGAAAATGCTGTTTAGCCATTGAAACGTGTATACCCATTCCATTGTATTGCATACCATTTTATACTGGATATTCATTGATTATTGTCACGCATGTTACATATTATTATTATTATTATTATTATTAATTAATTAATTAATTGTTATTATAAAATAAATCTATTTTTATAACATTGTGATATTATTTATATGAAATACATTCCACTTAACACGATAACGATCTTTGGGATCTGAGAATTGAATTAGTGGGCAATTCTCACTGTTTACTATTATCATCCCATAAATATCCCCACAATACAATACTCCAAGTAAGGTCTCACCAGTGTTCTGTACAATGGCATGAGCACTTCTCTCTTTCTACTGTTAATACCTCTCCCTATATAACCATTCTGCTAGCATTTCCAGCTGCTCTAGTACCTTGTCTATCTACCTTTAAGTCATCTGAAATAATTACTCCTAAATCCCTTTCCTCAGATGTTGAGGTTAGAAGGGTATAAAATATCCTATACTCTGATAGAAACATAGAATGTTTCAATTGTTCTTCTTCAGATTCTGGCAAGGAGTCACATCAGTGCTATACTCTTGTGCATGCACAAGAGTACAACAGTGAAGTTATGAAGGGTCCTGGAGTCTGTAAGTATCCAAAAGTAGAGTATAAAACAATTGAAACCTTCTGTTTGTCATACATGGCAAACTGGGTGATCTCTGGATCTCCCCTGTCGGCTCATGCAGAGCCGGCACTATCTAAAGGGCGGCTCTGCTCTAAGCCTCAATGGGCCGGCGGGGAGATCAAAGACCTACCTCACCGGCCCATAGCAGCAGGGAGGGAGGCAGGAGAGGACCCGGGTCCTAGAAAGAAGCTCCACCAGGTTCCTCTCGCAAGATCTGAGCATTGCCACGGCAACGCTCAGATGTCGCGAGAGTGAACTCTAGCCCCGCAGGCTAGAGTTCACTCTCCACTGGACCACCAGGGATGGCACATGGCAGCAAGGATCTCCCCTCCCTACATAAGGTAAGAAGGGAGGGGGTATATTTACTAATCTGCCCCCACCTTCACAATCCCTCCAAACATACAGCACCCACACACACACAGCACCTACAAACAGCACCCTCACAAATACACGACACAAACAGCACCCTCACAAATACACGACACAAACAGCACCCTCACAAATACACGACACAAACAGCACCTTCATACAGCACACAAACGGTACCCACACACACACACAGCACCTTCACACACAGCACCCTCACACACAAACCGCACCCTCACACACAACACACTAACAGCACCCTCACACAGCGCACTAACAGCACACACACACACACACACACACAAACAACAGTGTATATATATATATATATATATATATATATATATAAATAAATACACACACACACACACATACATACATTCGGTGTGTGTTTGTGCTTTAGGGTGCACACCTTAATGCAATAGGCTGCGCACTCCAATGGTGAGTGTGTGTGTGTGTGTGTCTGTAAGTGTGTGTGTCTAAGTGAATGTGTGTGTGTCTGTAAGTGAATGTGTCGGTCAGTGAGTGCGTGCGTCTGTCAGTGCGAGTGTGCATCCGTCAGTTAGAGTGTGCGTCCGTCATTGAGTGTGAGTCCGTCAGTGTGTGTCCAAATAAGTGTGTGTCTGTCTATCAGTGTGTCAAATCAGTGAGTGTGTATGTCATTGTTTGTCAGTGTATATGAGAGTGTGTGTGTCTGTCAATGAGTGAGCGTCTGTCAGCCAAAGTGCGGCCTTGACAGGAAGGGGTGGGGAAAATTTTAATTGGGGGGGAAGAATGCCCGAGCACCGTCCTGCCTAGGGCAGCACAAATCCTAAATACACCACTGGGGCCAGGTAAGGTAAGAAGTCAAACCACTCTAATACGGTTTGACTACTTACATGGGGGGCGGTGTCAGACCACTATGCTATGTAGTTGTAATGGTTCATAAAAAAAAGTCTCTTTAATAAAACATACAATTTGAACTATGTTTTTATCAGGTTAATTTATAAAAGTGTGATTTTTTGGGAATCAAAGTGAACGTCACAATAGCCAAATGGGGGAAAACACCTAATTTCAACCAATTGCCAGATTGGCTATTTTTACCTTGAAGAGACAATATAGGCACGAACCACTACAGCTTAAAGGAGCACTATAGTGCCAGGAAAACAAACCTGTTTTCCTGGCTCTATAGGCTCATTAGGTCCCCCCCCACACTCAGGGCCCCTTCAGCCACTTACCTTTCTCCAGCGAGTTAGTGAGACAACCACTAGAGGCTGAATTAACCCTCAGTAAAACAGAGCAGTTTCTCTGAAACTGCTATGTTTTCAGCTGCAGTGTTAAAACTAGAGGGACCTGGCACCCAGACCACTTCATTGCGCTGTATTAATATAACCTATATTAATACAGTGTGAATACTGGCTTTTATGTGAAAGTCAGTGTTTAGTGGCTGTCCCACAGGCTTCTGGAGGAGGCCCTGCAAAGATCAAAAGAACAAATTCAGTGTCACCACAATCTGCATGGAAATGCTGAACGCTCCCCATAGAGATGCATTGACTCACTGCATCTTTTTTATGAGATGCTGATTGATCACAGTACGCAAATATCAGTGGGTCCTGGAAGCAGTTTAGACAGTAAGTACTGGAGCAAGCATGTTAATCTCCCATGTTAAAATTAGTGTAGGACCCACGGATATTGGGGTACTGTGACATAGTGATGGACTTAACACAATATCGCCATATGGTGTAACTGAACCCCAATTATTTTTTTTTGCTAGTATAGGTGATTTTAAGTAGCTTCATAAAAATTAAAACTGGATTTTGTGCGCTGTTCCCTAATCTGTATTTTGAGGCTGAAACATTGTCACTTCAGTGGTGTGCCAACAGGGGGCGATAGGAATAGTTCCCCCTGTGTGACAAGAAGGAGGGGGGTACACAGAGTAACTCATTACATTTTGTTGCATGGACCCAGATAGAAGATTGAATGAATTACTTTGTATGTAACTTTGTAATGTGACCGACCATGTATGACCGTAGGTGAATGTTTGTGACTGTGTGTAATTGTGTAATTATGTTGTGATGGTGTAGGATTGTGTGTCTGTGCATGGGGGGTGCTAGCTCTCACTTGCCCTCTCCATTTTTAATTCTTCATGTTTACATCAACTGCTCTCATACATTCAAAACTAAGCCATAATCTTACATACACATATATTTTTGCCTCTTTCACACACACGCACATGCACATATGTATGTTTCTAAATGATTTTCAGGTATTATTGTGGTTTGGTGATCATCAAAGAGAGTATTAATTGAATATTAATAATTTTTGATGTACATTTATTTTACAATAGTTATTTTGATAATTGAACAAAATGTATGCACCACCAGCACGAAAGATATTGTCTGGTGCTGCTTTCCTGTAAACGAGTGCAAAAACTAAAGAGAATCGTGAAGCTGTAGAGGTCGAACCACACCCTTCTACTTCAACTGTGGGCGAAAATTATTTGGGTATAGAAAGTGATACAAACACCGAAGAAGAGAGTTCACAGAAATCAGCATCATCAGAAGATGAACATGGAAAAAGCACGCTGGTAGACTTCTTTGATCCAGCTGACTGGCCTGATACGCTTACTAGCTCACTAAAAGAAACCATCATTATGAAATGTCCAGCAAAGCCAAAAAAGCACTTTGCATTTCCTAAAGATGCATCCAAGAGATGGAAATGATGAAGTGCATGTTAGAAAGTGGCTTAGTTATTCTCCTAGACTGGACAAAATATTTTGCTTTTGTTGTAAACGCTTTACAACTACGAAAATGAGCCTGACAACGGGAAGCTACAATGATTGGAAAAATGTGTCCCCGTGTCTGGCTAAACATGAAGTGCCTCCATCTCACCTCACTTCTACGGGAGACTGGACAGAACTGTTAACAAGGCTTGGGTCAGAAAGTACTATTGACCATTCATACCAAAGATTATTGGCAACTGAAACGCAGCAGTGGCAGAATGTTCTTCAGCGGCTTGTAGCCATTGTTCAATACCTTGGGAAGCAGTGCTTGGCCTTCAAGGGCAGCAGTGACACGCTGTACTCTGAAAACAATGGAAATTACTTGAAACTTGTAGAAATGATGGCAACATTTGATAGTGTGATGCAAAGCCACTTGAAAAAGATACAGAATTCAGAAATTCATCAGCATTATTTAGGAAAAGACATTCAAAATGACCTAATTGGTTTAATTTCAAAAGAAATACGGAGATGCATTCTGTGGTTGCTTAAGGATGCCATGTATTATACCATTATACTTGACTGCACCCCTGACATCACTCTTGTTGAACAGATAACTATGATTTTCAGGTTTGTATCTGTTAAGCAAGGAGACTCACCAACTGCAAATCCTGAAATACACATTGAGGAAAGATTCCATGGTTTCCTTCACTCATCTGGAGAAGGATAAAGAGAGGCAATTTTGAATGAGCTTGAAATGCTGAAGATACCTCTCACTGATATGAGAGATCAAGGATATTACAATGGCTCCAACATGAAGGGCAAGCACTCAGGAGTACAAAAAAGAATCATGGACCTGAACTCACGTGCTTTCTATGTCCCCTGCAGTGCTCATTCCTTAAATCTTGTAGTAAATGATGCTGCTATGTGCTGTAGGGATGCCAGTAAATTTTTTGACATTCTTCAGAAAATATATATATATTTTTTTTTTTATCAGGTTCAACAAATCGATGGGATGTTCTAAAAAAATGTGAGTAAGCTGACAGTTAAGCCGCTATCCAATACTAGATGGTCAAGCAGAATTGATGCTATTCGGCCATTTAGGTTCCATGTTGGAGAAGTGTATGACACCTTAATTGAAATCGGAGGTGATGTGAATTTTGCTGCTCTTGTAAGAATTAAGGCTTCATCCTTGGCAAAAGAGTTAAACAAGTTTAAATTCTTGTGTTTTATCATTCTTTGGTTTAACATTAAGTCAAATTAATTCTGTCAGCAAAGTTCTTCGAAGCCAGTCAATGTACTTGCCAGATGGAACTTTTGGAATCAATCAAGAAATTCTTTCAATCTTATTAGACAGATGATGGTTTTGAGGATTTACTTAAAGAAGCAGGAGAGCTAGCAGTGGAAATAGAAATCGCCCCAGTGTTCCTCCTTCAAGTGCCTCAGAAGAGGGAAAAAAGAACCGCCTGCCGTGAGACGACCTAACGACCAAAATCACGGGCCCACACAAAGACCGAACCCCCAACAAATACTACCCCATCACACGGGAACGTTGAATAAACTGACACTAAGGAGTACGACCACTCCAAACACCAAAAGAGGTCAGTAAGGTAAACCCAACTTGTAGCTTGAACAACCCCTATAAAACCCCCGGAACATATCATACCTCCCCTGAGAAGACATAGCAAATGTTACTACCAAAGCATTAGGAAAGGTTCTAACCCTCTCATTCAATTACACAGATATGGAATGTACAAATACCAATTGTCAAATATTGTTAAATGGTAATATATGCAATGCTAACTGTGTCCCAAGAGACTGTTTGTAATAAAAACCTTGTACAAATCCTTAATATACTTGCAACCTCTTCCCCCCCCCACCCTCCCCCTCTCTCTTTTTCTGTACCCTCAAGTTTCTGATGAATGACAAAACAATAAAAATTGTCAAATTTGAAAAAAAGAAGAGGGGAAAAAAAGGTTGTTTTTGTATGAGGTTCCAGATGATCCTATCTTAGATCCTAAAAATAAATTTAAAGTGGAATGTTTCTTCACAATATTAGACTAGAGATGTCGCGAACCGTCCGCGAACTTCTCGCGAACGGTTCGCCACGAGCTGTTCGCGGCGAACTCCGGTCAGCTGACACATCCCGGCCAATCTCCAGCAGACCCTCCCTCCCAGACCCTCCTACTTCCTGGACAGCATCCAGGATGCTGTCCAGGAAGTAGGAGGGTCTGGGAGGGAGGGTCTGCTGGAGATTGGCCGGCATGTGTCAGCTGACCGGAGTTCTCCGCGAACAGCTCGTGATGAACCGCGGCGAACCGTTCGCGAGAAGTTCGCGGACGGTTCGCGACATCTCTATATTAGACACAACAAGAAAATCTGTACATGAAAGATATGAACAGCTGAAATTTCATTCCACGCATTTTCAATTTTTGTATGACATCCACAAGCTAAAAGATGTCCATAAAGAACTCCTGAAGTTCTGCATGGAATTGCAGAATGTCTTAAACGATGCAAAATCAAAGGAGTCTGGCAACTGTGTGAAGAACTTGCTGTCTTGGCTTCTGTTATAAAACGTACAATGACACCTGTTAATATTTTGGCCTACACAGTGAGGAATGGATTTGCTCCAAATGTGGTAATTGCACTTCGAAATATGTTGACCTTACCAATCACTGTTGCCACAGGTGAGCGAAGCTTTGTGAAGCTGAAAATTATAAAAAATTATCTGCGTTCTTCAATATCCCAAGAACAGCTTGTGGGACTTGCCATGATATCAATAGACAATCGGACGGCACAGGAGATTGACTGAGAGATTGATTGAGAATAAGTGCTAGAAAATATTTATTTAGGTTTTTTACAAAGTTGTTGAAGCTGTTTACAAAGTTGTATAGCACTTAAATTGTATGCTGCATTTATATATTTATTTTGCTATGTGTTTGGAGTTCTTTGAATGACCATACCATTTCTATTGTTGCACTAATATGCAATTTTGTCATTATAATAAAAAATGTGTGGCATGTATTTTTCTCTTAACAACTGTATGTTGTATTGCACTTTCAGAATGTTTATGTATTAAACAATTTAAATTCACACATTATTTTACATTGTGGCCTTTTCTGCAATTTGTCGGTGTCTTGAACCAAAAGCTACAGGTTTATTCACTAAAATGAGAATTTAAAGTGAATTCTAAATTTAAGAGAGTGCAGGTAACTTTTTCTTTTCTTTGGTTTTTACTATATATTGGGGCTGATGTGTACTGTAGTCATTGCTGACGGCCCAGTAGTGATGGCAGTGAGCGCAGGACTTCTCTAAATTTAAGGTCAAAGTAGCTTAAATGAAAGCATAACTGATGTAGATCATTTTTACAAATCAGTAGTTTTCTTTGCACTAAAGAACTGAATTTGGGTAAGAAACCATGAAGTTATGAAATTCACGAGCCACCAAACAATCTAATACACAAGCTTGTTTCTTTAGCAATGGCTTAAGTAATGGTAGTTATTCTTCACCATTCTAACTATTTTAATTTAAATGTTGAGAAAGGGGTGGGACATATGTGATGTCATGATATGGGCAGAGCATATTGGTTTGTGATATCACATCGTGGGCCGAGCATATGGGGGGGGGGCAGGAAAAATCCTTTCAACGATAAATATTGAAAAATATAGGATAAAGAACCAATATGCATATGTATGTGAGCTGGATAATTTTCCCAAATCAGTAATTGTTTTGCTTAAAACTGGCAATTAAGATTTAAATTCCTTACAATTTGGTGAATGGTGAATATATTACGCTACAGTAAAAGTACATTAACATTATATAGCACCAGTCACCTTTGTCAAGCAACTTTTATGAATGGAAAGCTACTAATGGCTTAGAGCATCACCGCTCTAAGTCAATCAGCCACACCCCTGTCTGAGCCTTCTGTTATTAAAGAGACTTCACTCATGAAGTGGTCTGGGTGCAGTGTCCGACATAGTCTTGCAATGTAAAACAATGCAGTTTTTAAGAAAATAAGGCTGCCTCTAGTGGCTGTCAGAAAGTCACAAGAGGCACTTACTACTTGCTAGGCGACTTTTGGTCGCCTGACGCTGCACATCCCCATGCTCTGCATGAGGACCTCCATGGTCACTTAAATTCCCATAGAAATGGGGAGTGCCTGGTGCGCTCGCAATGCTCGCAGCACATGCGCATTAGTCCCCCCGTCAGGTGACGTCAGAGGAAGTAAGGCACCGACCAAGAGCCGAGGGAAATGGGAGCTGAAATCGGGAGAGTAAATAACAGGTTTTAACCCTTTATTGGCAGGGCTGGCACAAGGGAGAGAGGGACCAGATGAAACTATAGTGTATGAGGAATACAGGTTTGTATTTCTTACACTATAAATATCCCTTTAAGTGTTTCAGAAAGAGTTACGATGGTGGGTGGGCAGAGGGGAATGGTGTAGCATAGACTTTGGGGTTAAACCTTTTGTGAACAGTTTAACCACTGAAGGTAAGCAGGGGTCAGCAACCTCCTGGCTCCATAAAACCTAATATTGATGAGATTGTTATGACAGAGTGTGGTCAAAAAGGCACCACATAATTATGAAGAGAAGAGCATTACATACCTTTTCAACATTTCAAAATGCTGAAGCACCTACAACATATTACAAAATGCTGAGCACCTACAAGAGAGACATAACTAAAAAAAAAAAGGAGGTTTAGAGGGATTTAGGCAAGAAATAGCGACTCATGGGGAGTATGACATTATAACGATGCACAATTTAGTGTGTAGCCAAGGAAATCCATAACAATAACATGACATTATTATCATGCTCTGATAGCCCAGCCCTTTCAGGATAACTAGTGCTCCAGGACTTTGAACTGCAATATATCCTCCATCGGTGAAAAATCTACCTTTTATTGGCATGCTTCATTAAAAGGGTGTTCTAGTGACAGCACTACGATTTAATAAATTTTAATAGGAATATCGATGCATTGCTGCCCACCATAAGGTTTCTTGTTTTATTAGGCAATGCACGTATGTGTGTGTGTTGTCACCCTCAAAGCCATTGTATGACGTCATCGCCGTGCTGTGACGCCCTTTTGCTATCACCAGCTGCTTTTACTCACTTTCTTTCGGCAGGAATCATTCAGTCGCAGATCCCGGTAGCACAAGGGGTTTGGAGGGAGTCTCTCATTCGATCAGATTCCCTCCCCCTGACTGCTGTGATTGGATCAGGTAGAATGTTGTAATATCATTGGTTCCGTTCGAATCTTGTGCAGTGCATTCTCGGCTGCCATCTTTGATTAGGGAAAAGGAAAGAAAAAAAAATACTCGAATTATCCGACAGCTTCGTGCATAGTCTTAAAATTATAATCATGTCATCAGTGATGATCATCTTAAAATGATAGCTGTTACACCTTAGGTTTGTTATGAGCGTCATATCCCATTGAGCTCGGCCAATCTTTAAAGCGGACTAAACATTAAAGGGACACTCCAGGCACCCAGACCATTTCTGCCCATTGGCGTGGTCTGGGTGCCAACTCCCACTACTCTTAACCCTGCAACTGTAAATATTGCAGTTTTTTTATAAACTGCAATAATTACCTTGCAGGGTTAACTCCACCTCTAGTGACTGTCTACTAGACAGCCACTAGTGGGCACTTCCTCCTTCATAGCACAGAAAATCTGTGCTAGAGCGTCGCTGGACGTCCTCACGCTGTGTGAGGACCTCCAGCGTCGCTCATTTCCCCATAGGAAAGCATTGAAAAGCATTTTCAATGCTTTCCTATGGGGAGCTCTGATACGCATGCGCAGCATTGCCGCGCATGCGCATTAGGTCTCCTCGGCCAGTGGGCGGGATCAGTCTTGCCCACCGGCCAACACAATCACAGGGAGGAGCGGCGGCGGAGGAAGAGGCAGCAACGTGGGACTTTGTCGCTGCCTCAGATAAGTTACTGAAGGGGTTTTCACCCCTTCAGCAACTGGGGATTGGGGGTGGGAGGGAGAGGGGACCTCTAATGGTGAGCAGAGGTTTGCTGTCACTATGTTGAATGGTGTCAGGGTACCAGGAGCAGGTGGATTGACAGGTGATATTTTTATTTAGACCTCTTACAATGTTACAACTTAATTATATGGCACACAGACAAACATATGGTGTTGAAATCCTTAGTGAAAAGTCAGGCTAAAACCTTTTAGCGGCATAACTCCCATATTAAATGGACACTGTTGGCACCCAGACCACGTCAGCTCATTGATTTTTCCCCATAGGAAAGCATTTATAAATGCTTACCTAGGGGGAAATCCTAATGCTGCACATGCGTTAGGAGCGTGGGCAGAGCCTAACCCAGCGCTGAGGCCGCTGGATTCAGGTATGTGACTAAAGGGATTTTAACCACTTCAGCGCCACGGGAGATGGGGAGCGAGGGAGGGGGGCACTGCAGGGACTTATATGCCACGGTGCCGCGAGTTTCTGTCAGCGTGGCCGCACGGAAACAGCGGTCAAGCCGTCAGAAATAACAAATGCTTAACTTACCTGCGGCAGATCATCCATCCCGGTCATCAGCGTGTGCGGCGTTACAAGAGACGCCGGTCGCTGCGGTTCAATTTTTAATAGGGAAATAGCCTTTGCCCATATCAAAAATGGTGCTTACGTGCGTGGGGTCAGAGGCCACATACAGCCAATTACAGCTTTAGGAGGGTTATTTAAACCCAAATTACCTTTTGATCAGTGCCCTGTTGTGGTTTCCCTTAGCTGGTTATCTGAGAGAGTGTTCCTGATCGTAGTATTTCTGGTATTTGACTTTGGCTTCGTTTGACTTCCCTGATTTCTGATATCCTTGACTTTTGGCTTTCCCTCATCGTTGTGTCTCGTTCTGTATCCCTGACCTCGGCAAGTATTTTGGCTATTCTTGGATACGTTAAGTCCGGCCATTCTAAGGTCCGGTTATACATTATCCTTAATCCTAGATGTGATACTATTTCTGCGTGCTGGATCAACAGTAATCCTGACACTATAGTGCAAGGAAAACGGCTTTGTTTTCCTGGCACTAAAGGATCCCTTTAAGTGGGATCCCCAAACTTTTTGGATCCTATCCCCCTGTCATGGGTTGATTCAATGTTGTCCTGCATTAGTGGGCACCAGGGAATTGTCCCCAGTACATGCATTACTAGACTCTTGAACACAGAGCTGCTCTCAGTAATTTTAGGGCCCGTCCCTGAGTCTGCCCACAGTGCCCACCCCGAGCCCATCCACAAGGATGCAGTGTATGTTTTTTGTGTAGTGAATGCAGTGTGTGTAGAGTGAATGCAGTGTGTGTAGAGTGGATGCGGTGTGTGTGTGTGTAGTACTTGTAGAGTTGATGCAGAGTGTGTGTGTGTGTGTCTATGCGTAATGGCCCAGGAATCTTGATAGTGCTGCACCCCCTCTTTACTATACAGGCTGCGAGGGGCCCGCAGGACTAGTGGTGAAAGTAACATAAAGAGAGCCCTGGTGCAAGAAATTCTTTTGAGGCCAAAATGTAGATCTCTATCTGTCATACAAGTCCCAAAATCCTTTGCCAGCTAGGGATCTACAATTTGCCAATCCTTGCAGTGCTGTATTTCGCATTGAGCATTTTTTGTGTAAAGAACAAGAAATGTACGGTAAGTGTGGTAAGGTGCAAACAGTAGTACAGGCAAGCAACTCTAGCTAGGGACCACTCCCAAATCCCACAGAAACAGTAGATACAAAAGGTGTATAAATATAAGATATACAGATATACAGGTGAGGGCGCCACTATCACAAATATGTGGGTTATAATTACCACTTGGTCAGCAGAGATGACATGTAAAAAGAAACATAAACATAAATACTTCAAGCTCACAAAGAGAGTGGCACAAAAAGAAATACTTATAGTTTGGGCACAAAAGCTTTTAAGCCTCAAGATAGGGGGGCTAAAATAGATTTTAAATTCTGCGTTTTCTTATAAATTATCTGTGGTTTTTTAGGAAAAAAACTTTTTTTTAAATTGATCTTGCTGTAAAATAGGCCAATGTTTCTTAATGGCTTTTTTCTATTAAAAACGTCTTACTGATATAGTTATAAAAGGAATCTTAAAATCTATTTTATTACTTTTATATCTAGTTTTCTTCAGAATTTCTGTTCTATTTATCTTTTCCACAATTTTTTCTTTAAAACCTGAACTTGTTCTTTAAAATCAAAATTATTTCTTGAGAAATTGTACCCATATTTAGATTTTAAAAAACAAGTTCAGGTTTTATATAAAAAAATCATGAATAGACATTACTCTCCGAACCTCCTTTATTATTGGGTTTATTTTTGGGTCATTAATGATTACCAGCATGAACGCTGGAGGGGTGTCTATCATTTTACGCATGTGACCTTTCAATGATGTTGCTGTTGTCCTTTGTCCTGTCTTCTTAAACAGCATTATATACACCACATATATACAGTTACACACACAATAGAGATAATCCCGTCAAACATATCCTGACTTTGTGTCCAGTCAACCATGGGTAGGCAGAATAGACCATCTACTGCTACCCAGAGACCCCAAGATTACCAGACATTCGCCTCTCCCTTGAGAGGCCTGTACCACCAACTCCCTCCAAGATGGCACCCGAAGCACAAAGTGATAAGGATGCCTGAGATGAAAGGGAAGAACTCACTTAATCTCACGTGGATGATGTCTACCAAGAAGTTGAGTGAGACGATGACCCCTCTCCAGCCATGAAAGCAGGTAAATATTAGCCGCGAGGCAAATGCCCAGGGCAAATGCCTTGTTAGCCTCGCGGCTAACTGACTGGTCGGGCGGCTGGCAAGGGAGCACTTCCTCTGAGCTGTCTGCTCAGCTCCCTCGCGCGCCGCAGAGTGAGGCTGGGAGCCGGAATATGATGTCATATTCCGGCTCCCAGCCTCACTCTGCGGCGCGCGAGGGAGCTGAGCAGAAAGCTCAGGGGAAGAGCTCCCTCGCCAGCTGCCTGCCAACACCGCCTGCCAGCGCCCACCGACCGCCCAGCAGCCACTGGACCCCAGGGAGAAAGACAACCCCCCTACCCCCCAGCATTCCTAAAGGTAAGGAGGCGGGGAAGGGGGGGTTCAATAAATTTAAAAAAATGTTTAATGTAAGTGATTGTGTGTGTGTGTATATGTGTGTGTTAGTGAGTGTATGTGTCTGTTAGTGTGTGTGTGTGTCTGTTAGTGAGTGTGTGTGTCTGTTAGTATGTGTGTGTGTCTGTTAGTGAGTGTGTGTGTCTGTTAGTGTGTGTGTGTGTGTGTGTCTGTTAGTGAGTGTGTGTGTGTGTGTGTGTGTGTTAGTGTGTGTGTGTCTGTTAGTGAGTGTGTGTGTGTGTGTGTGTGTGTGTCTGTTAATGTGTGTGTCTGTTAGTGTGTTCGTTGTGTGTGTCTGTTAATGAGTGTGTCTGTTAGTGAGTGTGAGTGTGTCTGTTAGTGAGTGTGTCTGTTAGTGTGTGTTTCTGTTAGCTAGTGTATGCGTATCTGTCAGTGAATGTGTGTGTATTTAGAAGGCGGGGTGGGGGGGAGGGTTGGGTGGAGGTGGCACGGGGGGAGGGGGCGTCTGAGTTTTGTCCTAGGGCAGCACAAACCAGGATACTGCATGAAAGGCAACATAAAGAATCTCCTTCTGTATCTCCGGAAAGCTGACATCAAAGAGCCACAGTTGGAGATGGGAATCCTGCATCAAAGAATTAGATGGGTGAAATCTAGAGACAACACCTGTGAAAAATGGCTGCAGCGCATGCAGAGTCAGTTGGATAACCAAGCACAGCAGATTCACAAGCTTACCCGATCAGTAACAGCACTGTAAACAGACAGACAAAGAAGAAGGAATATCCACCTCCGAGGCATACCAGAGAGTAACACAGTGGATGCACTTCTACCATTTGTCCGATGGCTGATGATCTCCATGGGCCTCAAAGGGGATGTTAACAACACGCACCTAACCACTGCCTTTAGAATCCAGTGCATTTAGAATTCTACAGCTCCAGAAGGAGCACCCAGAGCTGTAACCACTGATGTTGTGGTCCGTTCTGTAGTCACAGTCCACTCCAGAGAGCTTGGCACAGTCCAATTTGAAGACTGTTCGGTGGCAATATACGGGCACCTCCCATTTGCGGTGGTTGTGGAAAAGAGGCAATTAGCACCGATCGCCAGGCAACTACGCAGCTTAGGAATCAAATTCCAATGGAGGTGTAGCTGGTTCCTTAGTGGTTTA